ACCCTAACCCTAACCCTAACCCTAAGTATCATGCACCGTTGCGCGACGCCACGCCGTTCCCCGCGTCGCTCGAATTGCTCACGATTCTCTGGCCGCCCACTCCCCCTTCCGAACGTCAGGAGGAGACGGAAGGACCCGACTACGACGTCTTGGATCTCACTGACCGATGCGAGCGCGCCGGAATCGACCTGACGTGCACGGACTGCGCGAAGTTTGTCGAGGTGGACGACTTTGATCTCGAGGAGTGGGCGGCGAACGTAGCGTGATGCGGATGAGCTTGGTCTTCCTGCAATATACTCGTGCGCGGCCTCTCCAGCGCGAGAAGACGGGGACAGAAGCGATACTACTTTTACAGGCACTCCCGCGCGAGAGCCTACAACCCAGGCGGCGGCGGCACGGCCTCGTACCTCCCGCTTCCACCCGCCGGATCCGAAGGCGGCGGAGGAGGTGCGCTATCGGGCGGCGGAGGAGGAGGCGCGTTCGAAGGGGGAGGGGGAGGAGCGTCGGACGGAGGAGCGGGGGTCTGGGCGGTCGTGGCGGCGTAGGCGGACGGGTTGGCGGCGTACTGGGCGTAGGCGGCGTAGTATCTGCGCACGAATACGAGTGAGCGAGACGTCCCGAGTTGACGGGAGGAAAGCGAGGAGAAGGGAACGCACTGTGTGTAGTACGCCTTGCTCGCGTCGTCGAGCGTGTTCCACCACTGAGTGTACGCTTCGGTCGACATGCCGCTCATCGCCGCGGCGCCGGCGAGGTCGGGCGTCGCGGACGACGCAGCCGGAGGCGCGGGAGGCGCCTCGCCAGGCGGGAGAGGTGCGGTGAGGCCGGGAGCATACTGGTTCGGCTTTGAGAACGGAGCAAGGGTCAACTACCCGTCCACGGAAGAGCGAGCTCGTCGACCGCGTTGCAGCGAAGAGACCGGAAAAACGGAACAGTCGCCGACTCACCTGGTACGCATACGGCTGCCCACCTTGCTGCTGCTGCTGGTCGTACCGCACCTGACCGCCATACATCTGCTGCTGGTTCCCACCGCTGCCAAACTGGCCCGACTCGAGCGCCTGGCGCGCCTCGGCGTGCTTCTCCCGGACGACGGCGAGGAGATCTTTGGCGAGCTCGATGCCCTTGTCAATTTGGGCTTGATCGGGGCCGCTGTGGGACGAGCCCGAAACTACAATCAGCATCCGCGTGCAAGCACGAGCGAGCGAGAGCCGAGCCGAAGGTCGCCGCCGACTCACGCAATCGAGATGTGCAGCGGGTCGTCGCCCTCCCTGCCGGTCTCGGTCTCAATGTAGCCCGAACCTTGACCGCGGATCTGGACGCGCGTGCCGGTCTCGCCCTGGATGTACTTGACGAAGAGGCCCTGTGCGCGAGAGGGAGAGGAGAGGGTCAGTCGGGCGGTTCAGAAGGGCGGAGCGGCGGATTGAGCGCGAGACGCGCCGAGGCGTCATGCGTAGGAACGGGGAGAGACCAAAACGACGGAAAGGAAGCGCCGACGAAATCGAAGGTGAGAGGGAAAGCGGAACTCACGCCCGGTCCGACCGTCTTGGCGCGGATGTTGAAGTTGCGCAGCGGTTCGAGGTCGATAAAGACCTTCTCCTCGGGCCACTTGCGCTGCGGGACGAGTCGATTTTCAAGCGAGTCAGCGCTTACGCAAGGCCGAACGAAACCTGGCCGGCGAACCCCGTCCGCGAGCAGAACTCGTTGCGTCGAGGGACAGGCGCCGACTCACCCTCTGCCCATACCCACTGTCCCTCTCGCCCTCCTCACCCCTCCTCGGCCCGCGCCGGCCGTCGATCAGGTTCAGCTCCTGGTTGATCAGCTCGCGGACGGCCGAGACGCCTGCGGCGAGTTTCTCGGGGGTGTCCTGCGCGCGATGAGGAGCGAGATGGGTCAGTTACGTAGTCGGAGAGAGCGGTGGAAGGAAGGAAGGAAAAACCAGAGCGCGCGAACTCACGGCCGTGATGTGCAAAAACAGCGGCGGGTCCTTCTCGGTCGCCATACTCTTGTCCGGGTACCACACGCCCTTGGTCAACACGGCGCAACCGGTATCGGCGAGGAGTTGCTGCTGCGTCGAGCCTTTGGTGAGGAGGTAGCGGTTGCGCAGGTCGTTGATCTCGATGTCTTCGACGAAGCTGCGCGGTGGTGAGGCGAGCGTCGCGAGACGGGGTGAGGCATGTTCGGCGTGAAAGATCGGAACGGGAGCGGGAGATGCGACAGTGGCGGTCGGCGTTAACGAAAGGCCGAAAGAAGAGGGAGTCGACCGATGGAGGGAACGGCGGCGGAGGGACAAATCGGCGGGTGAAGAGGCGTGATACGGGTGCGATGGAGAGTATCGCGCGGTCGGGAGGGCGATGGAAGAGGAGAACAAGGACGAAGGCAGTCAGCAAGCGTTCACGGAGGAAGGTCCGGCAACATGCTTCGCGCCCCTATCTGTCCCAAGCAGAACGCCTAGCCCGAGCTGTTATGGCCCAAGCGCTTGGCGACCCGACTCTTCCGCCCGTAGCGTCCGCCGCCCGCTCACAAACCGCCCAACCTGCTCCCACAGACTCAAACAGGACCGGCCGCAAACTCACAGACCCGCCTCGCGATCCTTATCCCTCTCATGCTTGCTTCCCACGCCCGCAGGCGTCGCGTCGCCACCGTGTCCGCTTGCACCGCCGGGAGGAGGAGGAGGGGCGCCCATTGGAGGAGGGGGAGGAGGGGGTTGGCGGTGGAGCGAGGCGAGGCGGGCGGCGATGGCGGCTGAGGTGGCGGGGACATCAAGGACGGAGTGGATGAGAGTTGGAGGATCAGGGGAAGAAGGGGCGGAGAAAACGGTCAGCGAGAGGTTCGAAGGAAGCGAGCAAGGTATAGAATTCCGCCGTTGTGGCGCAGACGAAGCGAGGCTTCGCAAGCCCCTTATGAGCAGTCCTGGAACGCTGCCAAACGCATCCGATCGCACACCATGCCTGACGTGCGCCGACATCCGAACGTCCTCCTCGTCGATACTCGAGCAAGCTGGCCGTGACAGCCTGGCTCGCGCGTGACATTTCCCGGGTGACCAAACACTCCTCAGGTCCCCCACTGAGCCATGCACGCATCCCCTTCGGCCCGCCTCGAGTCCCACCACACCCGCCTCGACCGGGAGACACGCCCGCTCGTGCGCCAGCAACAGTCCGAGTCGCCGCAACTCGAGGAGCACGCGCACTCACCAGCAGCCTCAGCAGCCTTCTGATCCGGGCCCTGTCCTCCTGAGGCGTGCGGGGACGCTCCATCTTCCAACTTGACAGCCTTGTGGTCCGGAGGAGCAGGCGCGCCGGGCTGGGGCGACTGCGACTGTGGCTCGTCCCACTTGCGTTTGCGGTCCATTGCGGGTCGAATGGAGCGGTCAGCGGGGTTGTAAGTGTGCGGGACAAGGGAGAGCGGCGAAGGAGGAGGACAGGGTCGACAGCAACGACGTGTGACGGGCCAGCGATTCTGGCAGTACGCTTGTGATGCACTATCAGACTCTACACAGCCAGCCTGACCCGCCCAGCGTGCGCCAACCTCGTTCGTCCCGCTCTTTTTCTCTCTCCGACTCGCCCACACACCTCGCCTCGCTCAGACTGGCTCACTGAGGCTGGCAGACTACTCCGACGCTCTATCAAGGCTCACTGAGGGCGCCACGTCGACTGCCACGCCGTCAGTGGGACGCACGACCTCGTTCCCCACCTCGCTCATCAGTTGGACGCTTCTCTCCCGCTTCGAGGATTTGCAAGGGCTAGGTGGACTGACGCAGCAGTGCTAGGGACAACGGGTGAGTCCTCTCGTGCTCAGACGCTCTCCGGACGGCGCTGAGAGGCGGACGGGACGACTCTCGCGGAATGGACTGGGAGAAGTCCCGAGGGGCTTGCGCAGGCCAAAGGAGGACGCGGAAGGTGGTGAGACGCAATGCAGCAGCCTGTGTGTGTGCTGGGACCGGACGAACAGCTCGCACGGAGGAGGATGACCCGGCGGGACTTGTACGAAAATCGTCTCGGGAGGTGGGGGAGTCTTCGATGCGCGAGACGAGCGTGCAGCAGGGTGGATGCGATGCCGGAGACAGCAGGCAGTCGACAGAAACGATGCGCATGGCGCAAGAGAACCGGAGCTGAACTGTGGTTCTTGCCCTCGTCGCAGATCCGCTTCTCGCAAGTCCTTCTCGACCGTCGCCTGAGCTGAGCGTCGATTCCAACGATAGTCTATCGATCTCATGTGAGTGGTGATTCTGCGGCGTCGCTGGTCGGGTCACGCCAGTCGAATTCAGGGCACTGGTCGCTTCCGTGCGCCTCCCGCAGTTTCTGGCGGAACTGTCCGAGGCGCTTTTTCGGAGCCGACTAGTGCACTGCCCGATACTAACGACCTCTTTAATCTCGCAGCCCCCGCGCCAACTCGACCACCATGCCCGCCGTCCCACCCTCCCCGACCCGCTCCTCCCACTCGTCCCGCTCGTCCGTCTCTCATGCAGGCGACACCTCGGACCACGACGACGGCGAAGTGCACTCGCTCTCGTCACAGTCAGACCACGAGCACCCGTCGCTCACTTCGACGCACGGCTACTCCAGCTCAGACGACTGGTCCGCCTCCGACGCCGAGCACGAGCAAGACGACTTTGACCTCGTCGCGAGCCGAGACTTGCGCGAGGAGCGCCGCGGATCGATCTCGGCGGAGTCGTCAGAGGCGGACGAGGCGGGAGAAGGAAAGATGAGGCTCAGTTATCCGGATCCGATGGCGCGCGAGAGCGACCACGACGAAGACTCGCACTCGAGTCGCTCTGAGGAGCTGCTCGGCTCGCACGATGGCCAGCAGGGTGACTTGGCAACTTCACTCGTGGGAGGGGACTACTCCCTCTTGCTTGACGTCTCGCCTGCGTCGCCCGTCTCGAGCCCATCGACATCGGCGTCGTCTTTCGTCCCTCCCACCCCGCCGCTCTCGCCAGCACCGTCGCAGCACTCCTCCTCGACTTCCGCAGCCCTGCACGCCTGGCTTCGCTCGACCTCCTCGCGCTCCTCTTCCTCCGCCTCTTCGACTATCGACGCCCAGGCGCACCCGCACCCCGTCCTGCGCAAGATGTCTTCCGAGGAGAAGACCGACCAAGCAGTGCAGGCGTCTCTGGGCGAGGAGGAGAAGAGTGTGGTGCTGGAGTCGATGGGGAGCAGTGCGGCGACTGTGGTGCCTGCGTCGAGCGTGGTCACGAAGTCCGGAGCGAGCATTGGGGAGGAGAAGCGGGTTGTCGAAGAGCGAAAGGAGGAGGCTTCGGCGACGATGCCGGCAAAGGAGGCCGCCTCTATGCTCGACGCGCCTCTCAAGCCGACCAAGACGACGGAACTTGCCACGTCGCGCACCTGCTCGTCCGCCCGTCCGTCCCGCGCCGACGCTCCTCCCGACTTCACCTGGACGCTCGGGGCGATCCTCGCCTTGTGCGTCGGGCTGTGGGTGGCTGGCTCGCGACTTTCGAGTGGGAAGGAGCTCGCGGCGTCAACCGCGGCGGTCTCGTCGTCATCATTGGCAAGCCAGGTCAAGGTCGTCTCGCACATCGACGTCCCGGCACCAGCCACCTCGACCATCGACCTCACGACCGAAGCCGTCGCCTCGCCTGCTACCCCTTCCATCGCGCGCACGACCGAACCAGTCGCCGCCTCGTCCTCCTCGCCCGCCTCTAGTCCGCTCAGCACCAAGTCCTGGACTTCGTTCCTCGGTCTCGGGTCGGCGCCCGTTCGGTCGGCGCTTCCTGCGGCGCCGGAGGTTGTGCGAGATGAGGCAGGTGTAACGAGCGAGGCTGGCTTTGGCGCGTCGGAGGTTAAGGACCTGGAGGCGAGCGAGTCGTCTCCGACTGGCAGCGACGGATCTTCCGTCTACGAGCGCGACGAGGCTGACCAGGACGCCAAAGCCGACTCGACCTCGCCCTTCCTCGTCGACGCGCCCGAAGAAGCATTCAAGGACTTCTTCTCGACCTCGCACATGAAGGAGCTGCACGAGTGGTTTGTCGCGGCGGGCCAGCGATCGTCGCGCCGGTTCCAGCAGGACGCGCAGGAGGTCCTCGCGCACTTGGCAAAGTTGCGTGTCTCGGCGGAGATCGAGCGACCGCCGTCCAACCCGCCTTCGATGCAGCACGACTTCCCTTCGATTCTCACTTCGCTCCGACTGCCCGGCTTCGACTACGCTCTCGACATCGACCGCGTCCGCTCCCGCTTCGCCGACTTCTCCGCCCACTCCGCCTCGCATGCCGACCAAGTCCTCCGCCGCGCCGCCCGCTCGCTCGACCGCCTCTCCTCCACAACCGCGCTTTCGCTCTCGCACCTCTCGCACTCGCTCTCGCCCGTCCTCGACTCCACCGTCGACCGCCTCAAAGCCGGCACTCGCTTCTCCGAGTCGAAGATCAAGCGCGCGGCATGGACGGCGCAGATCCTTGAGCGGAGGGTCAAGTGGATGGTGCAGGGCGGGGCCGAGGAGGAGTATCCGAAGTTGTGTGGATGCCCTTTCGCTTGAGATGCGACGGTGGTGGTGCGCTTGTGGTGATGTGAAGGAGTGGGTTCGGAATCGTCTTTCTCAGGTGCGTTGCCATCTAAGGCTGCTGCCCACGCTCCGCATCCACCACGAGCTGAGCAGCTGACACAGAACTGTGCAGCGCAGTCTCGCTCTCCCTTGTCCTCGTTCGATCTTCCCGCTCGACTCTACTCTATCTCCTCGCCTCGACTCTCCCCCTTGTTTCGACTCATCCCACTCGGTTTTCCCTTCGTTCTGTACGGTACATACAGTGTCTCCTCCCTATCGTTGTCGTCTCTACTCCCCATTATCAGCCGCTTTCGTCCCGTCCATGTCGGCCTCTCCTCGTTTTGTAGCTTCTCGCGCCGCCATCCCGCGTCTCTGAGGGAGACTGCTCGCATTCCTGGCACTCTGCACATCTTGTAACGCCGTACCGTCTCATCTTGCACGCGAGAGCAGCGAGAGCGAGTTGCACTTCGCCTCTTTCCCTCCGTCCCTTCACTCGCTCGCTCGTTCTCCCGCTACGCTCGCTCGTATGCTTTCGCCCGAGGCTGTACGGCTACGCATCGCTCTCGTGCGCTGTTCTGCCTGCCTCGCGACGCCCCGCGATGCGCTGACGAGCTTCAACGCCGCTCGCAGGCCCTCGTCCTCCTCGAGCATCAGCCGGCCGGACTCGCGCTTCACGGTGCGCGGCGCCCGCTTTGATCGACTCTCTGAGACGCTGGCTTGCTGATTGGGTTGTTTCTGCCTGCCCACGGCGCACTCACAGATTATCTCAAGGCTTTGCGGAACGAGGTCAAGAAGCGACGGTCCGAGGGGCAGGTTGAGGACGAGAGCGTGACGTCGGAGGATGCAGAGGGGTCTTTTGAGGAAGAGGAGGAGGAGCGGGACGACCCTGAGCCTGTTGTCGAGGCGGAGCAGGCGGAGAAGGCTGAGCAGGTTGAGGAGGTCGAGGAGGTTGAACGAGTCGAGGTGGCAGAGCCGGTACCAGGTGCGTACAGCTCCAGCTGTCAATATGAGGCTCCCGCTGACCCCCATTGCTCCTCTCGCAGAGCTTTCGCCGGAAGAACGCTTGCGATCTGCCGCCTCGTCCCGTGCGCTCACCCCCAGCCTTTTGCGGGCTCCGTCTTTGCTGACATACTTTCGCTTATCTTTGCAGTCGGTGACACTGTCGCACAGGCCATCGAACGCTTCCTTCACCAACTGACGCCCGACCCTTCCGTACCTTCTCAATCCACGTCTCATGCTCCCTCGCCCTCGTCTCGCCCCATCAGCGGTTACGTCGGTGCGGTACTTGACGCTCTCGAGGGCGTACTGCAGGACGAGGAGGAAAATTCGGCCGACGGAAGAGCTGGGATGAGTTGGGAGCAACTCGGGACCATCTTCGACTGGATCATGCCGCTGGTGGCGAGCCTGCCCGAGGCGGAGAAGCCGAACACTGAAGAGGAAGTAAAGGGGACCGGACGCATGAAGACGAGGGGAAAGAAGCGAAAGGGAGGAAAGGGTTCTACAGCGGACGAGCCCGTGGAGCGGACGAAGGAGGGGCTGGTAGAGCAGGTGCGCGTCGTGGAGCTGCTTCTTCCGCCAATAGGCATGACTGATACCTCCCCGGCCAGCTCACGCATCTCCTCCTGCGCCTCGCGACTCCCGCATTCGATGCACCTCTCGCTCTTTCCGTCTTCGCCTCGCTCCTCATCCGGTTCACCTCCTTCTTTCCTCTCGTAACCCTCGCTCGTCCCCTGCCCTTCTTTCTCGACCAGCTCGCCTCGCTCCTCCCGCCTCACCTGCGAACCAGCGAAGTCAACGACTCCTCGCTTCAACGGCTTGCCGCACTCATCTCCCTCCTCCACCTCGTCTTCGACACCCTTCCTCCTCCCGACCCCCTCCAACTCTTCCTCCTCGACCGCACGAGCGGCGCCCTGCGCCCACTCCGACTCTCGCTCGAACGCCTCACCCACCTCCTCACCTCGACATCGACCTCTCTCGACCCGGACAACCTCTCTCTGCGGTTTCTGCCGGCAGAAGGGGACCAAGTGGCAGTTGTGACTGTCGAGGAAGCGGTGCTGGGCGTGCTGGAGCGGTGTTGGGAGTTTAGCGAGCTGGACGAGCGGGAGGAGCAGGAGGAAGTGGCTGTCGGAGCTGACGACGACTGAAATGATGATCTCGCAGCTGGCCGGTGAAGCAGAGAGACGAATAAACGAAGTCGTACGAAACTCGCGCATCATCGCACCCGCATCAACCCAGCACCATCCCGTCCGCTCCCGCATGGTACCCGTCCATCTCCCCCCTCGCGGCCATCCTGACCTCCTTGTCCCCCTTCTTCCCTCCACTCCAGTAGAACGCCCCAAACTTCCTTCTGCACGCGTTCGAGCCCGCTTCGAGGTATTCTTGTCGCGTGACGAAGGAGGAGGGCGAGAGCGGTGTCGGGAAGTGGGCGTGTGAGCGGGAGTTGTGTCCGAGAGAGAGGTAGGAGGCGGCGGAGGAGGCGATGGAAGTGGTAGGTCTGCGTGGCACGGCGACTACGGGTCAGCTAGAGCGAAAGCGAGAGGAGGAGAATGCCGACGGACGATCGTGAGATGGTGACGTTAACGACATGTTCTGGCGGTGCAACGGAGCGCAGTTCGCTTTGTCTGCGAAGATCAGACACTCAAGGATCAGCACTTCGTGGTCGGTCACGGAGAGAAGCTGAAATATGTGACGGCCGCAACGCACAATCGCTCGCCAAAGCCCTGGAACGCGGCGTTCCCTCCGACACAGACGATGTTGCTCCAGAACATGCCCTGCAAGTCGAGCGGGAGGAGCGAGATGCAGAGGCCGACGGTTTCGGCGAGTCCGGCTTGGTTCATGTCTGCGAAGAGAGAGGCGTGAGTCCTCGACTGTGCGTCGCCAAACCCACGAGTATAAAAATCTCTGTCTCGTGAGGCAGGCAGGGCGAGAAGGGTACTCACCAATTGTCGACGGGTTAAACAAGACCTCCGGCACGCTGAACCGCTCGTTGCAGAGGTACAACAGCTGCTCCTCGTCCTTCTCCGGCTGCGGGGCGTTGTACGGCGCGGACGGGTCGACGGGTGGAGGAGAGGCTGGAGGAGGAGTCAGGCCCGAGCGGACGTAGCCGAGCTTGTTGGTCGAGTCGGGGAGGAAGTCCGGCAGGACGTAGGTGCGGACGAGGGGGTTGCCGTCGCGGCTGCGAGACGAGCGCGAGCTCGACGATCAGTTTGCCGCTCAAGTTCATGGGCAGAGCAGTTGAGAGTCTGTGCGCCGCGAACTCACTTGGCCGTCTCGAGATCCTGCTTCCACTGCGTCGAGACGTAGCACGCCTCCTCCTTTGCGTGCTCCATCACCGACGTCTGATCCATCATGTACCAGTGTCGGTACGAGACGATCTCCTTCAGGTAGTTGGTCATGAGCTTGCCGCCGATGTCGATTCTGCGCGGCCGTTGGACGAATGGCTCAGTTCGAGTGGGAGACAGATTCGACGTCAAGCGTGTATGTGTGCTGCGGACGCACCGTCGCGCCGCATTCGTGACTATCCGCCCCCGCAAGACCGGGACGACGTGCGTGAACGAGAAGCCTGAGTCGATGATAAGAGCGCACTCGGGTACGGGTGCGGTCGGCGAGCCTCGCGCGTCGAGTCCGTATGGTACGAGGGCGGGACCTGTGCATCGAGAACCTCTCAACGAAGTCAGCACTCCCGCCGTGGGCGATAGTCGCAAACGCCAGCGAGACTGCGACGCACCTGGACACCGCAAGTAGCTCGAGAACTCGTATTCCTCGAACACGATCTGGTCGTAGTGATCTTGCACATTCGGGAGGTTGAAGACTGGCTCGGTGACGAGGAGATTGGTGTGTTGCGGGGCGATCTGGAACGGAAGGAGCTTGTTAGTCGAGGGAAGCGGCTCGAGTTGGACCGGTCGTACGCACGTTCATTCCTCGTCCTCGTGAGCCAAACACGTGGTCCCACACCGTCTTCTCGACCTCCCAGTTGTTCAGGATTCCCTACAAAGGAGGACCAGGGTCAGCTCAAATTCAACCCACTCGTACATGCGCCTCGGTACAGCAGCACTGCACGCAAGGTACAAGACGGGGGGAAGTGTAGCCGAACGCACCCTCTCCATCGGCACACGGAACGTCAACCCTCCAAAGTCGTCGCACTCGTCCGCCAACTCGTCCGCAACGAACGACCTTTTCGCCGCTTTACTCCGCGCAATCGCATTCCTATACGTCTCGACCACTCTGCGCGGTTGAACGAACGGTCAGCGAGCTTGCAAGGTGAACTTGAGGATGCAGAGGGGGGACGAACGGTTCGGAAGCGACGGCCGACGACCCAGCGTGCGCCCACGCCGCCTTGATCGAGTGCCCGCCGTTGTCAAGGACCAATACACGCGGCTGAGGCGCTGCACTGGTCGACGGGAGCGGAGGGAGCTGCATTCGTTCGGACGGGCGGTGCTGGGTGATGAGGAGGCGAGAAGAGGATGGATAGGGCGCGGGGGAGGTTGAAGGCGCTCAGACGGTCGCTCGAGGCAGTAGAAGCTCCAAGACAGGTCAGAAAGCGAGAGATCTGGCGAGTAGCGTGAGATGGACGAGCGAGAGCAGCGGAGGGAGACGAAAGAGGCGGCGCCTCGCACGCTACTGCTTCTTTTCGGGCTTTTCGACGTCTAAAGGTCTTGCAGAGATGTCCGAAGCGAGCAGCGAGCCCTGCGAAGCGACGGAAGGAGCCAAGTCTCCCACACCTCGCCTCTCACGACCGAAACCTGGCCAAGACAACTTCTATGGATGCACAATGCTGGTAGTACAACGCGGACACTCGAGATGCCGCTCAAGGGCCGTCGGTGATGGCTCCCTCGCTAGCGTTCGTGACGAGCTTGATGTACTTGTAGAGCGTGCCCTGCGCGTTCACAGTTACTCTCGCAAGTCAGCTCGCCTTCATCGAGAAAGGAGAGTCAAGAGTATGGGAGAGGGAGATCGCGAGACGCACCTGCTTGACCTTGGGCTCGCGGGGCTTCCACGCCTTCCTCCGCTGCTCGAGGACCTCGTCCGAGACGCGCATGTCGATCGTGTTCTTGACCGCGTCGATGTAGATGACCTGCGTTCGTCGAAATCACGCGCCAGTCAGCAAAGAGCAGGGGAAGAGCCGGAGGAGAGAAATGTGGAACGCACATCGCCATCCTCGATCAACGCAATGTTTCCGCCGACAAACGCCTCGGGAACGACGTGTCCAACCGTGAATCCGTGCGTGCCGCCAGAGAAGCGACCGTCGGTGACGCACGCGACGTCGAGCCCGAGTCCGGCGCCCATCACCATCGAGGTCGTCTTGAGCATTTCGGGCATGCCTGTCGAGCCGAGCCGAACCGGGTCAGCTCGAATCCGAGTCAAAGGAAGAGGAAGAAGTAAGCGCACCGGGTCCACCCTTGGGTCCGAGGTAGCGCAAGACAATGACCGTCTTCTCGCCCTTCTTGATACTCCCGCTCTGAATGGCCTTGGTCACGTCGTCCTCATTATCAAACACCCTCGCCTTTCCCTCAAACGTGAGACCCTCCTTGCCCGTGATCTTGCTGACACATCCACCGGGCGCGATGTTGCCCTTCAAGATGCGGATGTGGCCCGTCGGCTTGATGGGCGACGAGAGCGGGCGGATGACGTCTTGGCCGTGGGGGAGGGGCTTGGCGGATTCGAGGTTCTCGCCGAGAGTCTTGCCCGTGACGGTCATGATGTCGCCGTTGATGAGCTTGTTCTCGAGGAGGTACTTCAAGACGGCTGCCCCGAGTGGTCGAGCGTGTCAGCGGGTTATCCCCTCGGCTCGGAACGAAGCGGCGCGCGACCCACTGGGGATACCGCCGATCTTGTGAACGTCCTCCATGACATACTTTCCGCTCGGCTTGAGGTCAGCGATGAAGGGGACGCGGTCCGACACGCTCTGGAAGTCATCGATCGAGAGCTTGATGCCCACCGAGTGCGCGATGGCGATAAGGTGCAAGACGGCGTTTGTCGAGCCACCAAGGATCATGGTGAGGACGATTGCGTTCTCGAACGCCTCGCGGGTCATGATATCGCGCGGCTTGATGTCCTTCTCGAGCATGTTGCGCATGACCTCGCCGACCGCTTCGCACTCGGCCTTCTTCTCGGGGTACGCAGCGGGGGTCGAGCTCGATCCAGGAAGGGTCATACCCATCGCCTCCGCCGCGCTCGCCATCGTATTAGCGGTATACATCCCCCCGCACGCGCCTCCTTCACGGCGACACGAGTTGCGGACCGTCTCGAGCCTGACGCGCTCGGCGGCTTCGTCCGCGCCGGACTCGAGGTACTTGCCGTAGGACTGGAAGGCCGAGACGACGTCGAGGACGGGCTGGTCGGCGCACGAGCCGGGCTGCATCGTGCCGCCGTAGACTGCGCGAGAGGGCGAGCCGTGTCAGCGGCGAGCGCGGGCGGGATCATTGCGGGCCGAGAGCGGGAGAAAAGTGCAGGGACTCACCCATGATTCCCGGGCGGTTCAAGCGACCGAGAGCCATCAAGACGCCGGGCCTGTGCGACTCTCATCGTCAGCTCTGCCGCTCGCAGGAAGGAAGCGAAGGGAGAAGGAGAGGGGAAGAGGCGACGGACATGTTCTTGTCGCAGGCCTGTTTGCGGGTGCACCCAACCGCATCAGCGCCTCCTCGCAGTGGGGTAGAGGAGGGGGGGAACGCACAGGAATAGTAACCATGCCATCCAACCAATGCCCTCCGGCGGCCGTCTCGACACTATCCGCAATGAGGTCCCTACTCTGGAGGGAATAACTCATGCCGAACGTGCCCATCGAGATGCCGTCCGATACGCCGACTGTGCCGAATTGGTAGCCGGTTATTCCGGCGCGGGTGAGGGAGGATTTGATGAGGTGGCCGAGGGAGAGGACGTGTTTGTTGCAGCTGCGAGCGAGCGGCGGACGAGCGTCAGCGAGTGAGTGCGGCGGGAGGAAGGCTGAGAGGAATGGACGTACGGGTTGCCTTCGTACCTGCGCGCGACGAGCGAAATGGAGGAAATTAGCAACCCTCATCCCGCACAACGGACGAAGACATCGCTGGCGGAGAGACTCGCAACGCACCAAACGTTCGCAATGCCGACCATGGGCTTTGCCAAGTCTTCAGGAGAGTCGATCCCGTCTGTTGCGTAGAGCATGGCTTGCGAGGCGCTGCCCGAGTGAGCGAGGGGAGGGTTAGCGAGCCAGTGAGAAAGGGAGGGGGGACGGGACGCACCCTTGTGTTTTGGGCGAGGTGATTTGATGGCTGTGCGCAGCGAAGCCAACAACAACTATCAGCTCCTGTCGCCCGCTCGAACGACCAAAGAGCCGCAGAGCGCGGAGAGAGAACGTCGGTACGCACGAATACCGGTTCAACCTCTTGCCCTCGGACGGGGCAAGGGGCGTGCCCTCCCTCGCCACCTTGGGGGTGGTGGAGAAGGCCCTTCTGGAGGGGGCGGGAGTGGCCGCGCGGAGGCGGAGCGAGAGGGTGGACATATCCTTTCGGTTCGGGGGTAGAGGGCGGAGGAGATCGAGTCGCGGAGTGGAAGCGGGAGGGGTGGGGCTGGTAGGAGGGTGGAGAAAGTCAGTCTAGGGGACTTTCTAGACGGGTGCGAGTGCGGACTGGGCGGTGTCAAGAGCGAGGGAGGCGAGGGAGATGCGATCGGATGCAGCGAGGGTGGAAGCGGAACGTACGAGCTTGGCGGGAAGGAGGGCGCGCCGTGGAGAGTCCTCGAGAGTGTGTGTGAGAGTCTCGATCGGTGGCAGCAGTCCCAGCGAAGAGAGGAGCGACAGGGAGTCAAGCTGGCGAGTGAACAGGGCCAATGGGCGGGTGTTGCCGAACGAGTCGCTGCGTAGAGTGCATGGACTGCGATGTGATTGCATCGCATGCACATTACAGCTCGTCAACATTCTCACCGCGCCTTGTGAGAAAAAGCGAGGAGTGCTGTCTCCGCGGGACGAGGCGGAGATTGCGAGTTGTAATGTGCCAAGTTTGTAATGACTTACTAGTTTGTAACCCTCCACGCCATTAGTAAACGGCGCGACACTCAGCCCGGCTTGCTCTCCTCGCTCGCTCTCGCTCTCTCACACACTCGTTGTTCCCAAGCTGCTCACGCACACAGCGACCACGTTCCGCTCTCTCCTCGCAACCGCACGCGCGCGCATCCCCTCCACCGTCGCAGCAGCAGCATCCGCCTCGTTCGCGACCGCTTCACGAGGTGCGTTGCCCTCGCTCTGGTGTGTCAGCACGCGCGGGTGGGTGGTGGCGCGGGTCAGAGGACTGTGCGGGACCAGTCAGCTCGAGTGCTGGTCGACCGAGCGATCCCCCCTTCCTCCACCTCGAGCGCGCTAACGTTTCCTTCCCTCCGCTTCTCCCATCCTCGCTCATCTCCTGCACCCTCGAACGCACGCCCTCAGCCATGGCACCCATCGAAGTCAACGGCGGCGCAGCAGCCGAAAAGCCCTCGAAGCACAACAAGCTCGTCATCATCGGGTCCGGTCCCGCTGGACGTGAGTTTCTCGCCCGCTCTCCCCTGCGATTCTTGCGCGAGGTTGTGCGACGTGGAAGAATGAGAGATGCTGACTGTGTTGTTTGTTTCCTCTCCCCTCCCCCCCCCCCCCCCCCCCCCCGGGATCTTGCGACTTGCTCGTCTTCCTCCTCGACACGACTTTCGGCCTTTGCCTCGCCCACGCCATCCCTTCTATTCCCTCCTCTCTCGACATCCGACTCTACGCGTCGATACTCCTCGTGTCGCCCATCGTCCCGCCGAATCCACCGCCTCGTCCCGCCACCTCTGAATTCCGCCAATGTCGCTCTCGTCTCGCTTATCGCGCCTCGCGCCGCATTTCTGGGTTTACCACCTCGCTACGCTTTCTACGTGCCTGGTTTCGCCTTGCCGCCACGCCATCTGCGCCGACCCTTCCTTACTCGCAAATCCCACTCGCAAATCCTCACCTCGCCCTACCCGCTCGCTCCTTCCGTCTCTTCATTTCCCTTTCTCTCCCCTTCCCAACTCCTGCGCTATTCTCGATCGTGCTCACCTCCCCGTCGACGTCGCACCCGCCTTTGTCGCCACCTCGACCGCTCTACCTCGACCCCGCCTTTTCGCCCCCGCAGACACCTGCGCGATCTACGCCGCGCGCGCGCAGCTCAACCCGGTCATGTTCGAAGGCATGCTCGCGAACGGATTCGCCGCAGGCGGTCAACTCACCACGACGACGGACGTCGAGAACTTTCCCGGTTTCCCGGAAGGGATCCGCGGACCGGAAATGATGGACCTCTTCCGTGCCCAGAGCCTGCGATTCGGCACGACGATCCACACCGAGACGATTTCGCGCGTCGACCTCTCGAGTCGTCCGTTCAAGCTCTGGCGCGAAGGGATGGAGCAAGAAGAGCCCGAAACGGCCGAGACGCTCGTGATCGCCACCGGTGCATCCGCACGCCGCATGCACATCCCAGGCGAAGAGACGTACTGGCAGAGCGGGATCTCGGCGTGTGCGGTGTGCGACGGCGCTGTGCCGATTTTCAGGAGGAAGCCGCTGGCGGTCGTTGGAGGGGGAGACTCGGCGTGCGAGGAGGCGATGTACCTCACCAAGGTGCGTCCAGCGCGATGAGACGAGACGGGACTGAGCGTTAGCGAAGTCGAGCGAGGAGCGCCGCGAGCTCTTCGAACGAGGTTGCTGACTCTTCCCTTTGCCTCGCTCTCGCTCGGCGCGCGCAGTACGCCTCGCACGTCTACATGCTCGTCCGTCGCGACGTCCTCCGCGCCTCGAAAGTGATGGCCAAGCGCGCCATTTCGCACCCCAAGATCACCATCCTCTGGAACACGGTTCCGCTCGAAGCCAAGGGCGACGGCGAAGTTCTCACTTCGCTCCGTTTGAAGGATACCAAGACGGGTGAAGAGCGCGATCTCGAAGCGAATGGGCTCTTTTACGCGATCGGACACGTCCCCGCGACCGAGTTGGTCAAGGGCCAGCTCGAGTTGGACGAGGACGGGTACATCAAGACCAAGCCGGGGACGACGCAGACGAGCGTGCCGGGTGTCTTTGCCGCCGGTGACGTGCAGGTGCGTGCGAGGTCCCTTCGTTCGGGGCGAGTTTGGGGGTCGGGGAGGTCGGGAAACTTGAATCGTCGCTAACTCGCGCGCCTCGTCTCCTACGCCCTCGACGACCACGCCAATCGTTCCGCATTGTTCTATACAGGATAAAATTTACCGACAGGCGGTGACCAGCGCGGGATCAGGGTGCCAAGCAGCCTTGGAAAGTGAGCGATTTTTGAGTGAACACGACCAGGACGCGTAGTGCGGCTTCCTGGGGACGTTAATAGAGTTCAGGGTTGTCAAGCGGGCGCAGCGGCGTCGTCGTCGGAGCGAGTTGGACGGCGAGAACGGCGAGGGGGGGGACTTTGGCTCTCCACCTTTCCCTGGCTCTCTGACTCTTTCCATTCGCCACCTCGGACTCCTCTACGTGCACTGAAGGTTGTGGAGTGTCAAGCGGACGTAGCGGGGTTGTCGTTGAAGCGAGTTGGACGTCGAGAACGGCGAGGAGGAGGACTTTGGCTCTTGGACTCGCTCGCACTTCCCGGCTCTTCCGTTTCGGTACCTCGGACTCCTCTTACTGCTCTCATACACGACGCGGGTCAACCGAGCGCAGCGGCGTCGTCGTCGAAGCGGGTGAGACGTCAAGACCAGCACAAGAGAGTTCCGAGATATCTTCGCCGCATCCTCACGCTCGCGCCGGTTCTCATGCGCACCACATCTTCAAAAGCGCTCGACAAACCTATTGCACAAGAAAGGCGGAGTCGAGAGCGGAAGGCTACAGATCTGTACGAGGTGCGATCGCCGTCCTCCTAAGCCGTCCCGTACGTCGTCGTACCTTGAGGCGGCGCACCGTATGCGTGTCCCGGGTGCGCATGGGGGTGGACGGGCGCGTAGGCTCCTTCGATCGGTGCTGCGTCGCGCACGATTCCGTCAGTTCATTCACCCGTGAGCGAGAGAAGGGGGGAGAGAGAACAGTCCGGTAACGCACCCCACTCAGCATTCCCGACATACCTCAAATTCCCCTCCCCGAACCTCTCCTCACTCTTGATCCTCTTATAAAGGAGGTAAAACGCGTGCAAGTGTCCTGGGATGTATCCGAGGAGGGTGAGGAGGATGTTGATTAGGAGGTCGCAGGAACAGCCGGTTAGGATGGCGGCGGCGGCGGGGGGGAAGAGGATGGCGACGAGGATGATGAGGACTAGGGAGGGAAGGGGTTAGTGCGTGAGGAGGAGGGGAGGGAGGGGAGGCAAGACGCACTGTCGGAGGTGCGGACCATTGTTGTGCGTCTGGGTGCGGGAATTGAGAAGTGTCAGTGCGGGCGTCCTGGAGCGGTCGAGAGAGCTGCGAGGCGCAAAGCGAGTCGAGGAAGGGGTTGGCTGGACGAGGGCGGAGTGGCGCGGCGTCGTCACCTCGCAAGGCCATCGTTCGGCCGCCAGGTGGTCCTGCTGCGCCCTCTTTACAGCCGGCAGCCATTCCCACCGCTCCAGCCACGTCCACTCGTCGCCGCCATCCTCCTCAATCTCGATCCATCCTCGAGGCGTCAGCAACGCGCTTGTGGTCCGCGCGGCCGTCGGGTAGCAGAGCAGTGTGATCATAGACTGTAGCGTACACTTGTCGTTGTTCAGATAGCTTGTGTGTGAGGAGAAGGTCGATGGCACCGCCTCGAAGGGAGATGACGAGTTGCTAAGGAGCAGGGGGAATCCAGTTGGCACCCCTTCTCTCGCTCACAAAGTTTGGGCAATTGATACAGCACACAGACGCACTCTGACAGACGCCTGCCAACAGTCCAAACGTGCTACCGACGCCCGCTCCTCGTGAGCGAACATCCCCACCTCCTCATGCTTTCCTCCCCCTCTGCGCTCAATCACACGCATCGCAGCCCACAACCATGCCACCGCGCCGTTTAACCCGCTCCACCGCCACCACCAAACCCACCTCAGCTTCCACAACGCTCGACTTGACCCGCTCGTCTCCCACCCCCTCTTCCTCGGACCTCGAAATCCACACCGCGCCTTCGTCTCGCAAGGGCAAGCGGCGCGCGAGTAGTCCGGGGTTGGAGGTGCGCGATGGGCGTGCGAAGCGCGTCAGGAGTTCGAAGGGCAAAGGCAAGGAGGAAACTTCAGGTGCGGACGCGCGCGAGGGAGGGTTAAAGGCGGACGAGCAGCTGGCGAGGAAGTTGCAGGACGAGGAGGATCAGGCGGCTCTCGTGGCGGGCGAACAAGCGGTGAGTCTCCTCGAGGTTGTTTCGGTTCGGGCGGTCTTGAGGAGGAGGAAGTACTCGAGCGGGAGGATACTGGAGGGCTACTCGCGTCCGTCCAGAGGTGAAGGATGTCAGAAGGGTGCTGGAGAATGCCCAGCGCTCCACAATCGAGTCGGAGTACAAGGCTTTCTGCTCGCCGACGCAAAAGGCTTCTCAAGGCGGATCCTGCTCGCGCAGCGCGAAGCACTGCGCCTCGCGGCAGGCAGGGATTGGGAGCGTTCTCACTCGCCACTCTTGCGCGCGAAAAGCGGAGCCCGACGGACGGACGGACGCGGGCGCGAAGAATCTCGCGAATCGGTCGCGGAGGGAGGATCTGGTCTTTCCTACGGGGCGTCCAGTCCGGGCGCAGGAGACGAAGAGCTCCGTGTCTCTTCTGCGACTCGACTGAGAACGCTGACCTCGGCGGAAGCGCTCGGGCGAGAAAGGGAAGGAGTTGATCTGCGGATGAGATTTGGCGGATTCTCTCGCCTCTCCAGGGCGAAGCAGAACAGCCTAGACCTCTTCCTCTAGCCTCAACTCACGCATTCTCTATCCATGCCGCGCAGGGCCCCTCCACCTCGCCCTCGGCCTCAACTTCCGCACGTCGCAAATCCCCTCGCAAGCCCTCGACCTCCTCATCCTCCGGCCCCCTTGCTCCTCCCGCAGACCCGAACGATCCTCAGGTCGTGCTTGGATCGAAGAAGGCGCTGTTTGTGGGTGGTGGGACGTGCGGGAAGTGTGGCGCGGAAGTTCCTTACGAGAGCGAGGTGGTGCGTCTGCCTCTCCCATCTTCCGTCGCCTTCGCGTTGAACATGACGAGTCTCCGGATTCTGACGGGTTGTGGACGCACAGCCCTCCCTCACGCCCTCCTCTACACTCGCATCTTTCCTCGCACTCACAACCGCAACCTGTCCGTCCTGCGCCGCCCGGCTCTGCCGCGGGTGCTGGGGAGTTTGCGAAGGAGCAGGAGGAGATGATGGAGATGGGGAAGAGAGAAAGGAGGGCGAGTGTTGTGCGGATGGAAGGGCTGTGGGGGTCTTTGAGGTGTGTTTCGCGACTCCACCACTCCCTTTGCTCGAGCCCGTACCAAGTGAGGTACAGGCGTAGACTTGACGAGAACTTTCAAGTCGCTGACGCGTTTTTTTGACGCCGGACACAGCTCCTCTCCGCCCTCGATGCCGTCTACTTGACCGACCACCTCCGCCGACCTCTGCCTTCCGCCTCTACCTCCTCCGCCTCAAAGCGCAAAAAGACCGCCATCGCGACGGGGAAGGGTAAAGGAGTTGGGTATGGCAGTAATCGGATTGCGCCGGGTTACGCGGGAGCGACGGGAGTGGGGTATGCGGTAGAGGAGGAGGAGGATAGTGAGGAGGCAGAGGAGTGGTGGGATGAGGAGGTGGGGGAGTATGTCGTGAGGGAGAGGGTGAAGGTGCGTCCGAGTGGCGGCCAGATCCCCCGCTGCGGGTGGAAGCTTTTCGCAAGGCGCTTCCTTGGGCGGTGTTGGAGTCCGGCCTTCTCTAACTCGGTCGCTGACGCGCTCCCTCGCGCAGCCTGCACTCACCACCAACAAGCCCCGCGAGAACGCGCACGACCTCGCACAAGACCGCCTCTACCTCCTCGCCTTCCGCCTCCTCTCCTCGCTCCTCCCATCTCCCGACTCTCCCACCCCCAAAATCTACGACTTCCTCCCCTCCTCTCTCCTCTCACCACTCATCGAGCTCTCAACCCTCCCGGACCTGCTCACCCTCCTTCTGAGGAACGACTCAGTCCCCGAATGGCAACGCCGGAGCGAAGTCTATTTCGCGATGCTTGATGTGCTTGGAAAGATCGGTGGGAGTCAAGGGTTGTTGGGGGTTTTGTTTGGTGAGAGGAGGGAGAAGAGGTGGAGTGAGGGAATTGGGGGGTGGATGCGCGGGGTTGGTGAGGTCAGGTGGGAGAGGAAGGCGCTGCCTGGGCAGACTGAAGAGGGCGGAGCGAAGGGAAAGAAGGGAAAGGGGAAGGCGGCGCCGAGGGGGAGGAAGAGGAAGGCGGGAGAGGGCGAGGAAGAGGAGGAGAACAAGGGCGAAATTGTCATGACTGCTCCGTGCGTGCCGGTCTTCCCCGCTTCGCCTCTCGCTCTTGAGGCGCGAAACTGACGGTCTGCGAGACAATTCATCCGCGCAGCCTCTACACACACCTCGGCAAGCTCCTCCGCCAAGCCTCTGCCTTCCGCAAAGCCGCCATCTCGGGCGACTTTGACGACTCGGACGCGGCGCTGATCGGGATTTGCGGCGACTTTGTCACGGCCGGCGAGCGCTTCAGGCAGACGGAGAAGGTGTGGGAGGACATGCATGGGCGCGACCTGGGCGGCGCTGTGGTTGAAGGGAGTGGAGAGGGAAAGGGGAAGGGGAAGGAGCGCGAGTGGACGGAGGCAGACTATGTCAAGGCTTGCGAGGCGCTCGCGTACGACTCGGTCAACCTGGCGATCGTGAACGACAAGGGCGAGATTACGTACCCGAACCAGTGCGTGCCAGTCCGCTCTCCCGCTCGCAGATTTCAGACTGACGAGCGACGGCCGCTAGCTACTACAACCGCGACATCCTCGCCAGCGCCAACTCTCGCCGGACGAACTTTGCCCACCTCGCGAAGGAGCTCGCGGTCCTCTCGACCTCCCTTCCGCCTGGCATCTGGGTGCGCGTCGACGAGACGAGGGTCGATGTCATCAAGTGCGTTCTGCGCGCCCCTCATACTCAAGCACGCCAAGCTGACTAGGGACGTTGCGCGCAGGTGCTTGATCGCCGGTCCCGAGCACTCGCCGTATGCGAACGGCCTCTTCGAATTCGACATCTTCCTTCCTCTCCGTGCATCCCTCTCTCCCCGCTTTCGCGTACTCGAGATTCGCTGACGTCGAGGATTGCGCGACGCAGAGTACCCGCTCGTCAGTCCAGTGTGCTGGCTCAAGACGACGGGCGGAAACAAGGTCCGCTTTAATCCGAACTTGGTGCGTTGGCGATCTCCTCCGAGCGCGCGCTTGACCTGTCGCAAGCCTTCTTCGGGGCGTGTGAGCAGATCTGCTTGTCGGTCGGAGATTGACCGTTTCCTTTCCGCCTTATCCTGCAGTACGCCGAAGGGAAAGTCTGCTTGTGCGTCCAGCCCTGTCTCACACGGCGCACGATGCGCCGACGCTGACCGCTCACTTTTCGTTCGCAGGAGTCTGCTCGGGACCTGGAGCGGCGCGCCGGTACGTCCTTCCGTTTCGCTCGCTCCACCTCGTTCATCAAGCTCACATGCGTTCGTCACTACTCTCGCAGGAGGAGATGTGGCAGCCCGGCCAGAGCACGATCCTGCAGGTCTTGCTCTCGATCTCGTCAATGATCCTCGGGCGCGTTCGCAGCGTACTCTCGCTTTATCGATTCCTCCTGACTCAGGCTCTGGCCGTGCAGCACCAACTACCCGTTCTACAACGAGCCGGGAATGGGCGCCATGAAGGACGACGAGCGGAACAAGAGTGAGTCTCGCCGGGCCCGAACGGCGCGAGACGCAGCGCTGACCCACCGCCGCCGCCCTCGCAGACTACAATAAAAACTGCTCGCTCGCGACGACGCGCTGGGCGATCCTCGACTGGATCAAGGACGGCAAGTTCAAGGAGTCGATTTGGAGCGTGCGTCGCGTCGCTTCACCTGCTCTCTCGACCGTGCGCTCACACGCTGTACCCGCAGGACATCATCGTCTCGCACTTTCTCCTCCAGCGCAGCAAGGTCGTCTCGACGATCAAGGCGTGGGCGGCGAAGGATCCGCGCATGCGCGCCTGGAAGCCCGGGTTCGACTCGTGCGCCGGCGCGACCCACCTCCAGCCGTACAACGGCGGGATGGCGTACAAGTGGGCGCAGTACAACGCGAACAGCCAGAAGCAGCCGGAGCAGAAGAAGCCTGCTCCGCCGCCTGAGCCGGCGCCGAGGGACTTGGTGCAGGAGACGGAGGACGCGCTCGAGACGCTCGCCGGATGGAAGGAATCGGGATGGCTGGATGAGCTCGTCGCTTGAAGGGTGAGTGTGTCGCTTGTGTTGCAATCCATCTCGCTTGTCATCGAGGTCACGTGACACGGCGATCGAGTTCCGTCCCTTCCGCAAGTTCGGGCGGAGAGCAAGCCTCGTCGCGCTCTCGCTCCTCCGTTGCGCTTGCTGCCTGCTGGACCGCGTTGCTTGACTCGTACTGGCTATGGCTGCGGCGCACAACGGCTCGAGCGGCGCCCGTTCGTCCAGCGACGACCACTCACCTCTTCATCTCTCAACAGGCCAAGATCCACGAAACGGCAGAAGTGGGACGGACGGGCATGTGCGAGGGGCTGAGGAGACTTTCGTCGATATGCCAGGCAAGACGGACCGGCCAGCGAAGCGCGGCGAGTCGAGCACGCCGAAGCGGCAGGGGTCTTGGCGAAGCAAGGTGCCGGGCATGTTCAAGGGTCCTCTGGACGGTGAGTGCGGTATTTCGAGGGCTTCGTGCTCCTGCGCCCTCCGTACTTCCCGGGCAACCAGCACCCATCTCTCAAGTGACGAGCAGTTCCTCCTCGAGCGACCAACGTACTGACAGCCTGCGCATCCTCCCCAGCCCTCTTCCCCGTCTTCGTTCCGAATGCCCTCTACGACTCGCCTCCCTCGTTCGTCGCCGCCTCGCAGAAGCGCGCGAAATGGATCGCCCGACAACACCTCTTCCGCGCGATGGTCGTCTTTCTCGCCAACTTTGTCCTCATGCTTGAGCCGGCGTCCGAGCAGGTGTTCGGTCAGGCTTCCTTCTTTGGCATGATTGTCGCCATCATGCTCCCGCCGACATTCCCCGTCCAAGTCTTCCTCTTCGTCTCGGCAATGCTCGTTCTGGGAATGTGTCTGGGCTGGGCATGGGGGTGTGCGGCGATGGCGGCTGGGCTGAAGGCGAGGAGTCAGGTGATCCTGGCAGCGGCAGTACAGCGGGCGCAGACGAGGTGAGTTTGCGAAGTCTCAATTTCCACGCAAATCAGCTCACGAGCGCTTCTTCCGCAGCGTTGCGAGCGCGACGAACCCCGACGTCGCCTACCGCTCGACCATCTTTCATGGTAACTTCCTCGACGCCCGCTCGACCGTTGTCTTTGGCTGCTTCCTCGGCGTCGGCACATTCTTCTTCGGCCTCATCCGTGCTGCCGCCCCGAAGCTTATGCTCCTTGCCATCTTTGGCACGATCGTCGTCGACGTGATGGTGCGTTCAACTCTATGGCTAAGTAGACCACAAGCTCACCCGGCCTTCCGCAGTGCTCGTACGGTCCGCTCTTCCCCGTCAACCAGTACACGCTCGCCACGACCTTCCTCAGTGCGCAGCAAGTCTCCGTGCTCAGTGCTCGTATCAAGACTGACCCCATACTCGACTGCAGTCCCGACAGCATGCTACATCGCCGTCGCTCTCGCAGGGACCGTCCTTCTGTTCCCTCGCACGCTCAACACGTCCTGGACGTGCGTCCCGGTTCTCCCACCATTTCTTAGCAATAGCTGATTTTACACACGCTCACACGCAGCACCGACCTCGTCGACAAGGTCCTCTCGCCCATCCTCCAACGCGCCCAAATGCACTCAAAGCTGCTCTCCACGCCTCCGCCTCGTTCCGACTCTGGCTCCTCCGACTCGGAGTGGTCGAAGCTCGGCACCATCGTCTCCTCGACGCAGGAGGCGTCTTCAGCGGGTCTTGAAGGCTTGCTTGGCACGCTGGGGATGATGGAGCTCGAGGTCTCGTACGGCCGCCTCAGCGCGAAGGACCTCAAGCGCCTTGTTGAGCCGCTGAGGGAGCTGCATAACAGGAGCGTCTTGCTCGGTGCGCTTTGGTCGACGGTCGAGGCGCGGTTCAAGGTGCGTTAAAGCCTGCGCCACTCTTCTCCCCAACTCGCTGACCGTGCCTCACTACAGCGCGCCGTGGCGTTCGAGCGCGTAGCGCATACTTCCAATGGGACTACAACGGAGGACGAGAAGCCCGGACGACGGCGCCACGCTCAGCACGGGAAGGCCGACAAGGACGTAGGTCGCAACGAGACCGTCCGCATGCAGCGCATGCGCCACACGCTCAAGAACGCCGAGCGCGAGAACCAGCACGACCTCGCCGCCCTGCTGCCGATCTTCGCCGACGCCTCGCTGGAAATGCGAGCTGCAAACGATGCGGCGCTCTTGAGTGCGATGGAGTGGTTGACGACGCAGAATGAGGGAAGGTGGAGCTGGCTCTGGCGACGCGGGGCGCCGAAGCGGGAAGAGGAGGAACGGCTCGCTGCGCTGGAGAAGCAGGTCCTCCACCTCGAGGACGCCCTGCGCGAGTACCGCTTCAAAGGGCGCGAAGCCATTGTCGAGCCATTCCGCGACTTCTTCGACCCGACGACTGGTCTCTTGCGTCCGATCGATCAGCGTGGCAGCACGACCAGCAATGCAGGCCGTCTCTTCGCCCCCGGTAGTCTCTTCGCCGTTCTTTCCGCCTCGGACAACCTCGTGCTCTACAGCCAAGCCATCGCCGCCTTCGCTCGTGACGTCCGAGAACTCGCTCAGCATCGCCGCCGGAACAAACTGTGGTTCCCGACCGGTCTACGTCGCATCGGCAACCTCGTGCGGGGCAGAGGCCCAGCTACGAACGTCGTTCCCGACGGCGACAACCCCGACAGCTTGCAGGACCACGCCCACTCGGACGACGACTCGGATGACAGCACGCTTGCGAGCGGGAACACGGAGAAGGAGAAAGCCGAGAAGGCGAAGAAGGGCAATGCCGATTTTTTCAACGACGCCGCACTTCGAGGCCACGATCCGGATGCCCGACCGCCTCGCAACGCCGTCCAGCGCGGATCTCTGCTCGTCTACCGGTTCTTCCACTGGTGGACAAGCCCGAACGCCGTTTTTGCGCTCAAGTACACGGCCGCTTCGATCGTTTGCTGGCTGCCGCAAGTATTCAAGACGACGGCGTGGTTGTCTTACTCGCAGAAGGTTCTGTGGACTCGTACGTCGCTTGCTCTCCGGGTGTGGGCAGGCGAGAGCTGACCTCGTGCTGCTACCCCCTTCAGTCATTACGGCGCAGGCGAGGCCGCTCGTTTCAAAGCTCGGCATGACGTTACAGCTGACCTCGTCCGCTCTACAGACCTTCCTCGCACCGTACAGTGGCGACCAATTCCTCAGCACTGTCCAGCGAATCCTGGGGACGGCCCTCGGCTTGGTTTGGGGGATGGGTGAGTCCGCCCCTCGGCATTCTGCGCCGCGTTCTGCGAAGACTGACGCTCGTATCGCGTATGCAGTCATCGTGCGTCTCGTGCCCAGTGAAACCGCCCGATTTCGAGGCTGACTCCGCTCGTTTCCCGCTTATCTCCCCCTCTTCTGCCCTTCCTTCGGTCGATCGCCTTCAGTGGTATGTTGGCAGTGCGAACGGTCCCGGCACGCGACCAGGAGTCGGCGCCGCCCTTTTTGTCCTCATGCTCCCGCTGGTCGCCGCTCGCCTCTTTGCGCCCCCCGCTTCGATGATGATCGCCATCATGATGGCTGTCACGTCTTCTCTCGTCGTCGGCTACTCGTGGCAAGACGAGCACTTGCCGCAGTACGGCAATCCCGGTGTCGGATACTCGGTTGCCTGGAGGGTTCGTCCTCCTGGTTCGCTCTCGCTCGAACCCAGCTGACATCCTTTCGTTTGCAGCGCGGTCTCCTCGTTATCATTGGCGCGGTAGGTTCTCCCGAACCCTCGCTTGAACGGTGGGTTAACGTGACCTTCCCGGTTCCGCAGGCCGTCGCGCTCTTCTTCATGCTCCTCCCGCCGCAATCTTCGCGCGTCTTGGTTCGACGAACGCATGCTCGATGTATCGAGGAGCTTGGCCAGCTCTACACGAGCATCGTCTCGAGCTGGATCGAGGAGGACGTCCGGGCGACGAAGGAAGGCGAGTCGGCAGGCGAGGACGGCTACCGCGTATTCACGCCAGCGTTCCGCAAGGCCGCTCGCGCTCGCATGCTCGCCTTGCGCGTCAAGCTCAATGGATCGAAGACGACCATCTTTCAGTCGTCTTACGAGCCGTCGTTGCGAGGCGAATGGCCGCAGGACCAGTACCTTCACCTCCTCACGCTGCAGCTCGGCCTGCTGCAGGCGCTGGGTCAGCTCGGTCAAGCACTCCTCCGTCTCGAGCCCGAATGGCGTCGTCAGCTCGTGCAAGACACGGCATTCCTCAATCAGCCTCTTGTGCGTCGTCGACTCTCCTGATTCGCCTAGCCCAGTACTGATATAGACGAGCGACCTACAGATCGCCGACGTCACTTCCACCTTCTATCTTGTGAGCTCGTTGCTTGACAGCCACCACCGACGTCCCGCTGACTCGAGTGACTCGCAGATTTCCCTCGCACTCCGTCAAGGCTCGCCTCTCCCCGAAGCCACCCCCGGCCCACTCCTCGACCGCCTCCTCTACCACGACCGCCGACTACGGATGCTCACGGATGAGCCAGAGCCAGGTCACAAGGAGGAAGACGAGCATGCGCACGCGAAGCACGTCGACTTTGAGGGCGCCCGCATGGGAGGCTTCAAGTTCACGTTCGACGTCCTCCGCGACGAGCTGTTCGGAACGTACGCCTCGGCGCTCGAGGCGCTCTCAAATATCCTGCTCGACACGGATGAGCTGGAGATCGCCATCAAGGGTCTCGTAGGCGAGGTTCACTTCCCGGGCTACTCGGTGCTGGCGGAGCGGCAGCTGCATGTCCAAGCGTGAGATGTAGTCGAGAGACCAGTAGACTTGCGTGTAGATGCATGTTGCGCGTATTACAACAAAAGACTGCGTGGTGCGAACCGAGAATAACATGTGCGAGCGAAACCCTCACGCCTGACCCTGCTTGGGGAGCTGCGCAGCGCCCGCTGCCTTGGCGTTGATCTGTCCCTTCTTGGTGCCGCCGAGCGAGTCGAGGTCCGCCGGCTTGAAGTAATGCGGCGCGACTGCGGAAGCGGAAGGCGTGAGTGCAGTCCTGAAGGAGATGTGGGAACGCTGCGCACCTTCGAGCAGCCACTCGGGCTTGATCTCCATGACCTGCCTCGCGTACTCGCGCGAGGTCATGACGAGCTCGAACCAGAGAATGAGCTTGGGCGGCGGCTGGTGCTGGAACATCGACGAGGACGGGTGGATGTTGACGGTTTGGTTTGTTCTGCGCGCGGGATGAGATCAGCGGCGCTGGTTGTGACGAGCAAAGGACGTGCACGCACTTGATGGTTCGGTAAGCTTCACCGCTGCGGTTGAGGCGACCGGTGTTCTGGAAGTAGCTGCGAGCGGGAGGGCTGGTCAACCGACAGCGAGCAAGGCGCGAGTCGAAACGGACGCACCCAGCGCAGATAGCCTTCTGGATCGGGATGATGTCGCTCGAGTTCGGGTTGCCCTCGACGAAGATCTCGACGCGCTCGCACAGCCCGACGAGCTGGTCGCGAATATTGCGGACGCGGGTAAGCGACTGTGGGACGACGGCTCGTGTCAGTCGTAACGTCAATCCTGCGAAACTCGGAAGAGACGCACCTTGATCTGGATAAAGTGCTCGTACGTCCAGGAGATGGAGAAGCCCGAGTCCTGCCACTGCTCCCAGACGTTGAGCAGCATGAAGTGGTCGCCGCCCGGCTTGATGAAATTCTGCCGGGCCGTGTCGGCTGGGAGTGATACAGAATCAGTCGCTGCGAGCGGACGAGAGAAGAGAATCACAGCGCACCTTCGAGCTTCTTCTGCTTCGGCCGGTAGAACAGCGACCCCGACTCGGACAGCATCGAGACGATCGTGAGGACCTCCTCGACGCAGTTGTACTTCTCGCTCGCGAGGATGCTCTTCGAGAGCGCCGGGTCCATCGGGAACTCTGCCATCCTACGGCCCATCTTGGTCAACTCGCCCTTGTCGTTGAAGGCCCCGAGGGCGTAAAGGAAGTCGAGCGCGCGGATGAGCGTGTCGCCGGGTGGAGGGTCGAGGAAGTCGAACCCGATGAGGTCGTTGATGCCGAGACTCTTGAGCATGAGGACGACCATGCCGAGATTGGTGCGCTGAATCTCGGGGACGGTATCCTGCTCGAGCTCGTGCATGAACGCGTGCTTGGTGTACAGCCGGAAGCACTTGCCCGGCCCGACACGTCCAGCACGACCTGCCCGTTGACCTGCCGCGGCGCGAGAACAGGGCGTGACGACGAGCGACTCCATGCCGTTCCGCGGATTGTACGCATTCTGCTTGACGAAGCCCGGGTCGATGACATAGACGACGCCGTCAATCGTGATGGACGTCTCGGCGATGTTGGTTGCGAGGACGACCTTGCGCGCTCCTTCGGGTGTCGGCTCGAAGATCCGGGCTTGCATGTCGGTTGGCAAATTGGCGTAGATCGGGCAAATCATCAACTCCGCCACCTTGTTTCCCAACGCTCGCGCAGTCTCCTCGAGACTCTCCTGCGCTGCTTCAATTTCGTCCTGTCCGGTGAGGAAGACGAGGATGTCGCCTTTTGGCTGCGTGGTGTGGATCTGGAAGACGGTGGTGACGGCCGCGTGGAGGTAGTTGGCTTCGGGCTGAGGAGTGTACAGGATGTCGACGGGATAGCGGCGGCCGGGAACTGCGGGAGGGAGACGTCAGCTCGAGAGGTTGGAGAAGGAAGGGGACCGCCTGCTCACTTCGGAAGACTGGCGCGCCGTCGAAGTAGTCGGAGAATTTGGTCGCGTTGAGCGTTGCGGAGGCGATGAGGAGGCGGAAGTCTGGTCGGAAGCGAGCAATGTCCTGCGGGAGTGAGGAAGTCAGTAACTGCCCGTGCGTAAGGAGCGAAGGAGCTACGCACCTTGACAAGACCCAACAGGATATCGGTACTGAGCGTCCGCTCGTGCGCCTCATCGATGATCATGCACGAGTAGCCAGCCAAGTCGGGCTCGGTGAGGAACTCTCGCAAGAGCATGCCGTCCGTCATGTACTTGATCTTGGTCTTGTCGCTCGTGCAGTCCTCGAACCGGATCGAGTACCCGACTTCTGCGCCGACTCGACATCCGACTTCCTCTGCCACACGCGCAGCAACCGACATGGCTGCGACGCGGCGAGGCTGGGTACAGCCGATCTTCTGCCCGTTCGAGCAGTAGCCCGCCTCGTACAGGTATTGCGGCAGCTGCGTCGTCTTGCCCGACCCGGTCTCGCCTTCGATGACGAGGACTTGATACTGCGAGACGGCCTCGAGGAACTGCTCGCGCCATTGGTAGACGGGCAATGATTTGCGTGTCTCGTCGATAGATTGGGCTGCGGGCCATATGAGGAAGACGTCAGCTGTGTCCGAGTGGAATCAGCGACCGCAGACGCACCTCGTCGCTGCGCTTCGTCGATCTGAGCCTGCAGCGCGGCGTCCTTCGGGTTGATCGTTCCCTCGATCCGGTCCTCCATGTCCAGCGCAAACTGGATCTGCACGCTCTCGTCAAAGACGTAGTCGTACTCGCCGCCGATGTCGACCGTCTCGCGGTCGAGCGCACCAGCTGTGAGTTGCGCCTTGGTGGTCTGCTCCATCTCGTACTGCTCGAGGTCCGTGATGAACTCTTCGGGCTTCTTGCCACCGAACGCTGAACGCGGTTTGACGTCCTGATACCGCGACGTCAAGAGGTCCTGCTTCCGCTTCGAGTCGATCTTGCCCTGCGCCGTGAAGTAGTCTGTAGGCAGTCGTCCGGTCAGCCAGAGTCGCGCAACGCTCGAAACGGCGGCACGCACCGTCGGGCATCTGGTAGTGGTCGTCTCCCTCGTCGATGGCGAGCCGCTCTTCCGCAAGCCGCAGAAGCTCCTTCTTCCGCTCGTACTCGCGCTGCTCCGACTTAGTCAGCTTGACGCCCTTGAAGTCGCGCTCCCAGTCGGCGATCTCGAGCCTGAGGAGGTCGAGTTGTTGCTGTTCGCGCTTGCCGAGGTACGACTGGCGCGAGCGTTCACGGAGCGAGCCCATCTGCCGCTTGACGGCGTCGGGGTCGTCGGCGGCGAGTTTGGCGCGGAGGAGCGACTCGGGGTCCTTCTTGGCTGATCGGTCCTCGACAAGCCGCTTCGTGCGGTCCTTGTCCTTCTCGCGCATCCGAGCGGCGAACGCGTCTCGTTCTGCGAGGTCCGCGAGACGTTCACGCTCCCTCCGCGCGTCCTCGTCCTCCTCTTCCTCGTCTTCATCCAACGCCTGCCCCTCGTCGAGTGCTGCAGACTCGCCTCGTGGTCGACGGGCAGCCTCGCGAGCGTTGCGGTCCTCCTCTCGTCGCCGCTTGATCTCGCGCTCCTCCTCGTCCTCGTCCGCCCAGGCGTCTTCCCGCCCGCCGACGCCCGTCTCGCGCTTCCTGACCTTGTCCCGCGAGCGCTCGCCCTTGTCCCGCTTCTCCCGCTTGGCCGACGAGGAAGACGAACCCTGACCCTGCGCTCCACCTGCCGCCTCTTCGTCGTCGAGCAAGAGGGAAAACTTGGCACCCGCAAGCTGCTTCTTCTCCTTCTCTGCCTTCCTCCGTGCGTCCGCCGCGTTCTGCTCGGCGCGCTTGCTCGTCTTCCTCGGTGCGCGGTCGAACAAGTCGGCCGCGAACCTGCGAGTCTGCGCCGAGTCGGAGAGGCCGTTCTGCGTGAGGGTCTGGACGAGAGCGGAAGCAGATGGGCTCGACTGGGCCAGCGTGATGAAGTAGGCGGTCGTGGTCGAGTCGGATGCGCCGAGGAGGACGAGGAGGTTGTCGGACACCCAGGTCTCGAGCGGGGTGGGCATGGCGGTGGCGCACTCGCAGACGGTGTCTCAGCACAGTCCAACAGCACACAGCGAGTCCCAGCGAGTGCGAGTCGAAGTCAGCGCGTGTGGAGAGCGAGAGAAGTGAGGGAGGGTCAGGCAGCGACACCACCCACAACTGGCTCGAGACTGGCTGAGCGTGCGCTAGCTGGCTAGATACGACCTCATTCCTGACCTACAGCCAACTCCCGCTCGACCCGCTGCAGTTGGCGACCCGTTCCTCCCCCTCGCCCATTCTCATCAGCTGGCGACTCTACAACCCTCGCCAGGCCACGATTAGCGACGCGCAGGATGCCACACGGACGCAGAAGGGCGCCTTCGCTCTCACTCGAAGCGCCGGCGCATCACCACCACTCGCACCACTCGCGCCGGTCCGCCTCTCCCTCTTCGTCCCCTTCTCACTCGCCGGCGGGCTCTTCCGCCGCAACAGCAGCAGACGGGTCGTCCTACCCTTTGTCCGGGTCTGCTTCTTCGTCCGCCTCTTCATCGAAACTCCGCCTCCAAGTCCTCGATGTTTCGTCCTCCGCCGTCGCCCTATCCGTTTTCACACCCAAGACCGCCTCGTCCTCGTCTCCTTCGCGGCGGAAACCTCCATCCATCTCGATACAGCTCGATCGGCGACCGTGGCCGCATGTTGCGCATGCTGGTACAGGGACGAGCGCGAATGGAGTCGTGCAGTCGACGGGCGCGGCGGGCGATGACGAAGCGGCCGGTGGAGCAGAGACGACGGTGATTGTGTATGGGCTCGATCCGGCGAGGGAATACGAGATCAGCTTGGAGGTCGTCGAGGGAAGCGACGAGGATTCTGCTCCGGGGTCAGGTGTTGGCTCGGCGGGTGCGACTGTCGAGATTGAGACGGTGGGGACCGAAGGTGCGTTCGCTCATTCAGCGTGGCCGTATTGTCTTCGAGAGTTAATCGCCCTCGCTTGCAGGAATCTCATCTCGCCGCCCTTCGCTCGACATGTCCTCTTCCGCCCTGCCATCGAGCTCGAGCACGCTCGCCCCCGGTGTTGCAGATCACGACTCGCCCTACCACCCCGACGACCCCTCCGCGAACCTGCCGGACGGCCCTCCGCCACCTTACTCTCCCTCCGCAATGCCTCTCCCAGCTACTTCCGCCGATTCTCTCGCTCCTTCCGCCACTTCTTCCTCCACTCCCGCCGACGACGCCTCCCGAACACCTTCCACCGTCTCTGGCTCGGTGATCGACGAGCCCTCCCTCCGCGCCGCGCTCAAAACCCTCCGGGCCTCGTCCCGCCGCACCGAAGCAGCCCTCACTTCGTCCCTCTCCGCTCTGCGAAAAGCAGTCGACAAAGCCTCTAAGGAGGACCAGCGCGCACGAACGCGGATCCAGAGTCTTGAGGAGGCGATCCGCAAGGCGGAGGAGGGCGCGAGGAGGATGAGGGAGGAGGAGAGGGAGGATGTGGAGAGACGGGTTGGGGAGGTCGAAGATGAGGAAAGGAGGGTCAGGGAAGAGCTGGAGGAGTGGAGGGAAGGGAAGAGGGAAGTTACGAGTTTGCCGGCCACGGCGGCAAAGGAGCTTGCGACGGGCGGGGATGACCAGTCTTCGCCGGCGAACGAGGATGCGCCAGCTTCTCAGCCTCAGCAGCAACAGTCGACGACCAACCTTGCCGACCTGGCGCGCGAGCTGGATGCGCTCAACAAGGCCATTGAGGCCACGGAGCGCGAGAGGGAGGAGAAGGCGCACGAGGTCGTCAAGGGCATCGAGCGGGAAATGCAGCTCGTCGAGGGCGAGCTGATCCAGTGCGTTCTCTCAACCTCTCGCTTGCTCTGAGTGCCGTCGCTCTCGTGGGGACCCTCGTACTTACGGTCTTTTCCCATTCCGCAGACTCGACCGCGAGGAGGCCCACCGCTACCACCTTGCCGCACGCTACGGTGCCCCAGCAACCGCCATCGATCCCGCAACAGGTGCCGTCATCCCGCTCCACGCCGTTCCCGTCGTCCCCGTCGTTCCGGTTCCTCCCGCCGGTGCAGGCTCATCAGGAGCGAGTGGTGGCGGGTTCGGCGGTTTCTGGAGGGGACGACGAGCGGGCGCGGCGGCAAATGCAGCGGCGGCGAATCAAGCGCCGGGTGGAGCATCGTCAGGTGCAGGCGGCCAGTTCGGTCGCTTCTTCCGACGTGGTGGGAGCGGGAGCAACGCGGCGAATGCGCCGACTACGCCTTCGCCGGGCAGTACGGCCGTCTCGTCGCCTGGCTCGTCCTCCTCCATCAACGTCACAACACTTCCCTCTTCATCCTCCTCTTCCGACCTCTCGCTCATCCCGCCTCAAATCGGCCTGTCCTCCGCCCCCGCTGCTCCGCCCTCTGACCGCGCGCTCGCACAGCAACAATTCGCCCAAGCGCACCAAGCACAGGCATTGTGGGCGCATGCGCAGGCTCAAGCGGGACGGTCGTACGCTTCTTCGAGCGGGGGATACGGGAGTGCAGTGCGCGGCGGAGGAAGGAGCAGGGCGGGCTCGTTGACGCAGCCTGCACAGCCGTATCACGGGTCGAGTCCGCTTGCGACACCGAGTGCGAGTCCGACCACGGCGCATCGGGCGACGACGCCGGCGCTTGCGACGGGCGGCAGCGGCGAAGGCGACGAGGCAGCGGGTGTCAAGGTGTCTGGTGGGGCGGGTGCGAGCTGGAGTCAGGTGGTAGGAGGTGCGGTGAAGGGTGAGGGCGGGGAAGCGAGTGAGGCGGACGCAGCGAAGGCAGAGTAGAGTAAGGCATCCTCGGCGCTTTGCAACAGACACTTCAGCAGCGACTCTCCGGTCCACTTGCACGGTCTTGCACGCGCTCCGCATCGTTACACGGCGTGCGCCGCCGCCGCCTCACGCTCAGCCTGCAATCTCCGCCCTTCCTCGCGCCACTTCTTGAAGCCGACCGGCGGCCTCTCGACGCCATACCGCGCTCTCAGCTCCTCGATCGGCGTCTCCCACTCCTTCTCCCAATACACGCTGATCAGGCAATCCGCCTTCCCTCCCGCCCGAAGCGCCCAAGTCCCGTACGTCTTCCACAGCCTGTCCCGCTCGCTCTTCTCCATCCTCAGCGGCCCAAACATGCCCGACAGCGCTGCGACTGGCAGCCCAAAGTTGGCCAGCTCGAACCACTTGACGACGAGTTCGGCGGGCAAGCTGACTCCGAAACCGAGGAGGACGTGGTAAAAATCGTGCGACTCGCGGTAGCGCTGCATGACGTAGGCGAGGTCCGGGTCGGGGATGTAGCGCACTGGGTCGCGTGTGTCGGGCGTGACACGGTTGCGGGTGAGCCAGTCGGAGTAGGCGCGGCCGAAAGTGCCAGGAGGGAGTGAGGCGAGTTCCGGAAGCGAAATCGAGGTGGAGGTGATGCGTGGTCGGTCGCGTAGGATGGCACGGCCTGAGGGAGACTTGCGCATGGCGTTGTGTAGCCGTCGCAGGGAGGCTGTCGGTGCAGAGGTCTCGGAGAGGACGGCAATCATGTCTGCGCGCAATCGCGAACCAATATCAGCTTCTGGATGACTCCTGAGAATGCCAGAAAGCCGAAGGACGCCCGCGAGCGCACGCACCGTGACGATGAGTATCCACCAAACCCATGACGGCACTCCCAAGCACCAGCAACCCCCTCTCGAACCTCCCAATCTCGACCTGGCCATGGTACGTCTCGCCTTCTCGATGCGGCAGCTCGTCTTGCGTCTTTGGTCGTGGCGCAGAGGAGGTTGTTGCGTGTGTTCGGACCCAGAGTGATGAGGATTGGCGAGGGGTGAGGCGGGGGAGTGTAGGGCGCAGGAGCGCGGCTGGGCGGGCGCAAGTGCAAGCCATACTGTCTAAAACAACACCGGCAGCGTCTCTGGCGCCGTACGAGCGAGTGAGCGTGAACAGACGTCTCCCAACCTTCACCCGACCTCTCTCTCCCTCTTGCCATCCGCTTGCTTCCGCTCAATCGCCTCTGAAAGGCTAGATGTCACGACGACCCTCGCGACAATGACTTCACGAGCGACCTACCTCCGTCTCTCGCCCCTCACGAACCGCTGGACGCGCACAACCCGTCCCTTCAACCTCTCCAAACACGCTCGTCCCCTCCCCGCGCCTCCTGCTCGCACGAAAGGGGTGAAGGAACCGTTTGAGACGTTGGTGGCGGATTTGACGCCTGTGCCGGGGGTGCAGGTGCCGCGGCTGGAAGCGGGTGCGAGGGAGGGGGTGCCGAGAGCTGGGATGGCGGTCGAGGGGGATGGTCAGGCGATGCCTGTCGGAGCTGGAGAGGGAGAGAAGGTGAAGGCGGAGCAGAGCACGACGAAGGGCAAGGCGTGGATGGGCGTCGAGATCCCTCTCAAGCCAGCGGCACCGGAGGAAGGCGGTGAGTTCGCTCTTTTCTCTTCTTGCCTGTCTTTTCCAAAGGCTGACAGGCTGGATATAACCGGCGCATCTCGCAGAATGCTGCATGTCAGGCTGCGCCGTCTGCGTCTACGACCTCTACCTCTCCGACCTCGAACACTTCCAACTCTCCCTCGCCTCGGCCCGCAAAGCAATCATGGCTCGTCTCGATGCGCTTCCTCCACACGAGAAGGAGCAGAAGATGAAGGAGTGGCCGGACGAGTTGGGTGATAAGCCGGGAGAAGGGGTGGTTGGGAAGGAGGGAGGTGTGGATGCAAAGAAGGAAGCGGAGAAGGAGCTGGAGAGGGAGCGCAAGACGCTCGATCCGACTGTCAGGTGCGTGGTGCGATTCGCTGAAGTCGGTTGTTCGCCAGTCGGGGCGAGCGGGACTGACTGCATGGGTCTCTTGTCCTGCGCAGGGCCTTCCTCGAGATGGAGGCGCGCGTCAAAGCCAAGGGCAAGGACCGATGACTTCGCTTGTAGCCTCAACGCTCCTCTCGCCATCTCGCCTTCATTCGCACTCTCGCTCGATCGACTCGCCTCGTCTCACTCGACCGACCACGCGCACGAAGAGACAGTGATGTTACAAGCAGACAACGCCCTCCTCCAGCGTACACAAACTCCCGCTCACTGCTGCTGCTCCCTCGACGACAGACGAGACGAGCGGGATCAGACGAGGTTCATCCGCCGCTCCATCATCTGGTGGAAGTTGCCGGTTACGGCGGTAGAGGATGATTGGGCGCGGTCTGTAGACGTGAGTGGGGTGGATTGTCGAAGGCAGGAGCGAGAGCGGCGGTCGAGGAGGAGGGGTAGAAGGAGGATTGAGGAGGGTCAGCTATTCCCGCATCTTATCGCATCCCTGCATTCGTAACCCGCATCCGCAGCCTCACAGCATCTCCCACACGCGCATAGAGAGGAGGGGACGCACCGATGAGGACGTCTTCGGGCGTGATCTCCTCGTCGCGACCCATGAGGACGTCGAGATGCACGTTCCCGCCGGGCTTGGTGAATCCCATCCCTGGCAGCCCGAGACTCAGCGGTGTCGGTGCCTGCACATTCGCGCAAGATCAGCTCCAGAAGAAGGGAGAGCGAGTGGAAGGTGAAGACGAGCGTACGGACGAGACGAGCTGGCGTTCCATCTGTAGCCGGACGGGAGCGTGCAGGCCGTACATGTTGCGTTCGAGTGTCATCTGCAGCGTCTCCCTCGTCGCATCCCACTGCATACCCACCAGTATTCGCTTCATCAGTTCCAGCGAGGGGGGTTACGCGGCGAAGGGGGGAGGGAACGCACGCTCTTGAGGCGGTTCTCGAGCGGGTGCTTCTCTGCTACGTCGACTGCGACGCTCCTCAGTCCGTGTGCGAGCGTGTCGTGCAGCCCTTGCGACGTTGCGCTCGTCGCGAGCGAGACGTGCGAGTGCGTCGGCTGCGACGGCGGGACGAGCGCGAGCGAGGGTTCCTGTGCGTTGCGAGTGTCAGTACACGTTCTGCGAGTAGTCTGGACACTGTCCTGCCCACCATTTGCGCTGTGTGAGGGTGTGCGGCGAGATGACGGAGCCAACCCTCCTCGCTGAGTAACTCTCGCTCTTGCACTCGCACTCACTCGCTCAGACTGGCTCACTGACACGCCAGACCGCACTCAAGACTCGAGCATGTCCACGCCACAAGAAGCGCGCCTGCTCCGGCGCCTCTCGCACATCTCCCACATCCTCCTCGTCCTCTCCGGCAAAGGCGGCGTCGGCAAGTCCTCCGTCTCGGTCCAACTGGCCCTCTCGCTCCTCGCGTCCGACCCGTCCCTCCGCATCGGTTTGCTGGATATCGATTTGACGGGTCCGAGTTTGCCACGGATGCTGGGCATGGAGGGCAGGGATGTGCTGGCGAGTGAGGACGGGTGGGTGCCGGTGTATGTCGATGCGAGGACGGCGGTGCAGAAAGCCAGGGAGCAGGGGATCTTGCCCGCGGAGGAAGCGGGCGCGAATGGAAAGGTGCGTGAGCGCTCTTTCTCCTCCGTCTCGCTTGTCCCTGCGTCGCTCGTCTCACGGTGCTCGGGTCCCGGGCGTGGTGATTGACGAGAAAGTATCCGCACAGGACACAATGGCAGGACCTTCGACTTCTACGACAACCTTCACAGATCAGGTGCGTTCCCTCGCCCCTCCTGCGCGACCCTTGCCCTTTCGCTATGTTCTGTGGCTGACTCGCTCCGTTGTTCTTCTGTCAGCCCTCTACGCCCTCCTCTAACTCGCTCGCACCAGCCGACGAGGTCAGCGACGCTCACTCCGTTCTTTCTGCCAGACACCTCCGCTGACATCCTCCCCGCCGACCTCACACCTCGCTCCTGCAGCCCTCCTCCGCCTCCGCCTCGACCTCCACTTCCACCACCTCCTCCGCCACCTCCTCCTCCTCCGCCGGCACGCGCACCCTCTCCTCCCCCGGCCTGCTAGCCTGCATCTCAATCGGCTTCCTCCTCCGCTCCTCACGCGAATCAGTCGTCTGGCGCGGCCCGAAAAAGGACGCGATGGTGAGACAGTTTTTGGGAGAGGTCGTTTGGGGAGAGTTGGATTGGTTAGTGGTGGATACGCCGCCTGGTGAGTGAGCCGCGCTCGGCTGTTTTTCTATTTTCTGGAGTGTCTGGTACGGGTGGTGGTGTGAGCGGTGTGCGGCGTGCGATGTGCCCACGATGGCATCAACGCGGAGGATGCGAGTTGCACGGCAGACGGAGCGGAGACTGCGGCAGGAAGCAAGCAACGGAACCTCGAATTGACTCCCGCTCTCTCGCGCAGGCACCTCGGACGAGCACATCTCGCTCCTCGAGTCCCTCCGGCCGCTCCTCGCCCCGCAACAACCCAACGCCCTCCCTCTCCCCACCCTCTCCTCCGTGCTCGTCTCGACTCCACAAGCCCTGTCCCTCCTCGACGTCAGCAAAGAGCTCTCCTTCGTCCGACGCACCCACCTCCCCCTCCTCGGGCTGATCGAAAACATGTCAGGCTACGTCTGTCCACACTGCGGCGACGTCGTAGGCGTGTTTGGACAAGGCGGGGGAGAGGATTTCTGTCGGCGGGAAGAGGAGAAACGGGAGAGGGGAGAGGTTGAGCAGGGGTGTAGGTTCTTGGGGAGGGTGCCGATCGATAGGGAGTTGGTGGGGTTGTTGGACGACGTGGCGGCTCATGGGGCACCTACGGTTGGCGACGGATCTCGAGGGGAAGGGGGAGAAGGAGGCGAGGGGAGGAAGAGCCTGGTGGAGCGGTACCAGGCGATCCCGTCGTTCCCTGTCGTGCGTGCGATCGCCGACACGGTGCGTGGGCTGGTGGACGAGCAGGTCGAGCGCGAGCGGGCGCAGGGGAAGAGACTCGTCGCCGTCGAGCGCGCGTCGAGTTCCGCTTCGTCTCGGGCGTAACTTGGTTGTCGCTGTGTTGCAATGTTGCTCGAGATGGCAACTGTTGTCGTCGTGGTCGAGACTGAGTCTGCGAGCGAGTCTGGTGACCTGGTTCCCCCCACCTCGAAGCCTCAAAGTGCTCCTCGTCCCCGCTCTCTCTCTTCTCCTCTTCCCTTTAACCCATTCTAAACGACCACAGCGTCAGTCTATTCTCACCCTTCCACTCCCACACCGCACTCACCCCTCTCACTCTCGCAGACACCCACACTCTCCTCTTCCCCACATCCCATCACCTTCACCTCGTAGCGATGCAGCCCCTCGAGCAAGTCACCTCAAACGACTCGGTCGCGTCCGTCGAGCTCGGAGACTACATCTTCTGCGCCCAGCACGGAATGGAGAGGTGCGAGGCGTGCAAGGCCGATTTCCGTGAGTCCCGCGCTTCCCTTCCCGCTTCACTCCGTCTGCATGCAGTTTGCGGGGGTTTTCTCGCCGGTGGAGTGGACATGGGAGACGCCAGGAGACACGACCGAGCCTGGAGAAGCAGCGGCGGACCTTCAGAGGCAGACACGCACCTTTCTCCTCCTCGCACCCCTTCGCCGTCTCCGCATCCTCGGCATCGACGGCGGGAGCCTTGAGCGGCTCAGTACGCCTTGCAAACGTCGTTCTTCGACGCATTATGTCCTGGCCGGCGGCGGAGGACGCGCTGGACCCCCTCGAAGTCGACGGGAGGGTTGGAGGCTTCGTCGTCGTCGCTGCCTGCCTCGGCATCGTCGACTTGCGTCTCTAGAGGCTCTGTGCCGCCTCCTTCAACGCCTGCGGATGGTTCTTCTCGCCTGGCGCTGGCCGTACACGGTCTCACCTGCCTCTTCGGCGAGAACGCCTCGTCGGCCTTTTCCGCCTCGGCGTCGTCGGCTCGACTAGTCTCTCTGCACATCCTCACAACGCCCACGCTTGACAGCTGTCTGAACCGTCCTTCGCGCGAGGGATGAATCGTCTGCGCGGATCCCGCGCTCAAACAACCTACCAGCTCGTCGTCGAAGAGCCCAACGCTGACCCTCGTTTGCCTCCCCTCCCCCCATCCACTATCCTACTCATCGGCGCAGGCGAGGACAACTCGTTCACCGGTGTGTCTCGTTTCCTCCTTCCTTCGTGCGCGCCGTGCGCCGTCTCCCTCCCAACCCCTTCCCTGCATTCCCCGACTCGCCGCTCTCCGCCTCTCTCGCCCGACACACCACCACGACTCGCTAGCTCCCCTCAGCCTTGAGCTCGTTTCCGCCACGCCTCTCCTCTCCTTACAACCGCGCGCTCACCCTTCTCCCTCTCCCCCTCCTCCCTTCTTCCCGCCACTCCCGCCCGCCCAGCCGGCTGCGACCCTGAGCCCTTCCGCATGCCAATCGAAGCCGAATACTCGATGAACAAAGACGGAGAGCCGCAGTGCAAGTGCGTCTCCTACCTCCTCCTTCCCTTCCTCTTCTCTACCGGAGCGGGAGCTGATGAGGGTGTGGCGCGAGCAGGAAACACAAGAAGGCTAATTGCGGGTCGTGCTTTACGTTCAAGTGCGTTCGCGCTCCTCTGCTTCCCTTTCCTTTCCACCTCTTTTCCCTCCGCAGGGGCGAAGCTGATGGGATCTCCATGGGGTTGATGAACGTGCAGGAAGCAAATCTTGAAGCTTACCGTGCGTACTCGCACCGTTCTCCCTCTCTGGCGGCGAAGACGAAGGCGTGCAGAGATAGGACCTTCCCAAACTCGTCTTTGACGAGACTGCTCTCCCACTTCTCATCCTGCATCCGCTCCTTCGCCTCACAAAACTCTCCCGCTTCTCCTCTACAATCCACGAGGACCGCCGAGCTCTCCCTCTCTCTCTCTCGCCAAAGTCGCCCCTTCGCTCCCCTTTGCGCCCTCTCTCACCGCTCTCTGTACTCTTCCCGTCTCGCAAGCAGCTTCCTCACACAACCCACTGCAGATGCGCTGACCCTCTCCTTTCCTCCCCCTGCACCTTCCCCCCTCCTCCATCATGCCACCGCGCGGGCGAACAGAAAGAAGGCCAGAAGCGCGCCAAGACGGACGCGAGGAACAACCCCGTCTCAAACTTGCTCGTCTGAGAACTCCCAGCTACAGCTCGTGGCCGGAGGAAGGGAGGGGAGGAGGGGTGAGTTTGCGTTTCCTTTCCTTGCGTTCTCCTCGCGCGACGCGACTGCGGGAGAGCGAAGGATGGCATGTGAGGGCAAAAAAACGAGCTGACCCGTCCACCGCTCACTACTACGCAGGTCCTTCCCAACCTTCCGCCTTCCGTCATCCGGCTCTTCTCCTGCTTTCTCCATTCCATTCCGTTGCGTTCTCGCTCCCGTCGTCCGTTCCATATCTCCCCTCCTGTGTCTCCAGTCTGTAGCGAACTCCGAAACTCGAAACTCGAAATAACAAGCAGTGCCCTCTTCTCCTCTCGCCGGCGGTCGCAAGGAGAGGACGACGAAAAGAGTTTTACTTGCATGCAAATTTCGAAAGCCAGCGCGTGGGGGCTACTAGTGCGTTACACACAACGGGTTGGAGAAGACACACACACGAGAGTGAGCGAGGGGAGTGTACAGAACCGAGACCGAGACCGAGTGAGAGGATGCTGTGCTGCGTGCTAGAACCGGGAGATGGTACAGTCGATGCGAAGGGAAGGGAAAGGCGAGGCGGGAGTGGCGATTGAGTCGGGAGAGAGGGATATCATCGTCTATGAGGGAGGGGTCATCGGATGAAGGCGAGGGCGAGAGGCGAGGGAGGGGGAAAAGGCGGGAGTCTATGGACGTGAGGGACGTGAGAGGAAGGAGAGTTGCCGGGCGAGCGGGTGGCCTAGTAGCGGCTGCGCGACGGCTTGACGACCTTTCCGCGGCCCTCCCAGTGCGCGCCGCCGCCGCTGCGGCCCGACACGCGCCGAGGGGTGCGGTCGAACGAGGGTCCGCCGCCGTACCGGTCGTTCGGCTTGTACCCGCCGCCGTACCCTCCGCTGCTGAACCCGCCGCCAAAGCTGCCCTCGTCGCGGTCGCGGTCGGACGTGCCGCGGTAGCCAAAGTCGAGTGCGCGGCGGGTGCGGTTCTTGGTCTTGCCGCTCGACATGCCGACCTTTTGCAGGAACGCGCTCGAGACGTGCGGCTCCTCCTCGGCGCCGAGCGCCTCGACGGCCCAGTTCTTGAGGCCCTGGAGGACGACGTCCTTGGTGCAGCGGAGCTCGTGCGCCTTGTTGATGTAGTAGCCGCACAGGGTCGCAAACACCTCGCGGATGTCGTACGAGTCGAGCGTCGGGAGGACGTTGGTCTTGAGCGACTCGCTGAGCGAGTTGAGGCGCGGCGAGAGCTGGGCGGGGATGGTCGGCACGCGGCCGTACGACTGGTCGCGCGAGCCGTAGCGGCCGACCGAGCGCCTCTGGGGGGCGGCGGCGGCGGGCGGCGCGGCAAACTCGGCGGGGTTGGCGTCCCAGTCGGCGGCGAGCTGCTCGAGCTCGCGCTTGAGCTGGCCGACCGTGTTCTCCTTGAGCGGGATGTCCTTGAGCTGCCACGAGAGGAAGCCGGCCTCCCACGGCAGGAGGACGAGGTCGCCGCGTCCTTGTTTGCCGGCGCGACCGGTGCGGCCGACGCGGTGGATGTAGAGGTCGCGGGTGCCGGGGACGCCGACCTGGATGACGCGGGTGACGTTCGGGTAGTCGACGCCGCGCGCCGAGACGTCGGACGTGACGAGGATCGAGTAGCCCGTCTTGGCCGAGCGGAACTGGTCCGACGCGCGCGTGCGCTGGTTCTGGTCCTTCTTCGAGTGGATCTCGACAATGTTGGTGTCGCGTCCCCACGGCAGGTGCGGCTTCATCGCGACGAGGAGCTGGGCAAAGAGCTGCGTCATGCGCGTCGTCGGGAGGAAGACGACGGCCTTGCCGCCGCCGGTGCCGCCGTTCTCGGCCGCGGTGCGGGCGTGGAGGAGCTGGTCGTGGGCGAGGAGGCGGAAGACGTGCTCGAGCTGGTGCTCGGCGGTCGGGAGGGTCGTGTAGAACTGCGGGATGTGGAGGTGGGTGTCGACCTCGTCGGCGGGTACGGTGTCGATGTACTCGTGGTCGCGCTTGAGCGACTTGCGGGCGATCTGGCGGATGTTGCTCGAGACGGTGGCGGAGAAGAGGAAGGTCTGGCGCTGCTCGACGGGCGGGAGCATCTTGGAGATCGTGTTGATGTCGTCGGCGAAGCCCATGTCGAGGAGCGTGTCGGCCTCGTCGAGGATGAGGAGGCGCGCGGTCGAGACGGGCCTGCCGATGGAGCCCTCGGACTGGAGGAGGTCGACGCAGCGGCCGGGCGTCGCGACGACGATGTCGTTGCTCGGTGCGCGGCGCCAGTCACGGATCTGCTGGCCCTTGGACGCGCCACCGACGAGGAGGCGGACGCCGAACTGCGGGAGGTGGGTCGTCAAGGCCATGGCCTCGTTGGCGATCTGGGTCGCGAGCTCGCGAGTCGGCGAGATGATGAGGGCGCCGACGGTCGAGCCCGCGAAGCCGGCGAGGGCGCGGCGGACGTCCTGCGGGGACGCGCCTTCGTTGTCCTTCTTGTACTGCTCGACAAAGTCCTCGAGCTGCTTGAGGCGGCCCTCGAGTGCGGGGACGAGGAAGGCGAGGGTCTTGCCGGTTCCCGTCTTTGCGCGGACGAGGAGGTCCTGGGCGTGGCGGACCTCGTCGGGGAGGTCGTTGTCTACCGAGGGGCTCGCTGCGAGGCGAGGCAGGCGGGCCATGACCTCGGCCTGGACGTCGGTCATTGTCGCATACTGGAACGGCCTGCGAGAGCGAGCGAGCGAGAGAGAGGGTCAGCTTTCGCCGCTGCGAGCGGCTTCCAAGCGGCTACGCACTTCTGGGTGATGGCGCGGAAGACGGGAGCGTGGAATGAGCCCTGGATGGACGCGTAGGTCTTGGGGACGGGCGCCTTGGTCTCCTGCTCCTGCTCGGCGGATTCGACCGGTTCCGCCTCGGCCTCTGCGGCGACGGTCGACTGCAGCCGTGCGCCGAGGGTGTGGAGAGACGGTGTGGCTGTGGACGGGCGTGGTCAGCTAGCGTTTCTCATCGTGGCGTGTGAGTGAGCTGACCTCGGAGAGCAGCCGTCTGTGGCCGTGCGGCGATGGCGAGTGCGGCGGGCTGGGCGATGCGTGCAGCCGGTGCGAGCGCTGGTCGTGCGAGTGTCCGCAGCGAAGCCCTTGCGAAGCGGAACATGGCTGTCCCCGTGTGCGAGCTGAGAGAGTGAGCGCAGGCGGCGACAGCTTCGGATCGCGGAACTCGTCCCAGCGCACCAAGCTCATCACCACACCCACCTCGCTCTCACGTGGTGGGTGTGCTGCTGCTTACGTGGGCTGCTAGGATCCCGCCAAAACACCCGCCAGCCTCGCACCGTCACGCTCACCCGCTCTTGTCGCTTCATCACCTCGATTCGCTTCGAATGCCTTTACGCCTCCAGGGTCACCTCATGCGGCCTCGACATGCTTACTAGGCGTGGACTGCACTCTCTGCAACCCCTGCGACCCCGGCACGCCCGCTCCGCTGTCCTCCGCCAACCTCCCACATCACCTCGATGCACTCGCGCCTCTCTCGCTCCTCGCACAGCTCGCAGGAGAGACTAGGCGGCGTAAGGCGAAGATCGTGACTGTCTCAAGGCTCGGATTGCTGCAGAGGAGCGGGATAGGCGGCCGGGGGATCCACTCAGCTCCGGACGTGCGCGGGTCCAATCTGCTTCCTCTGAGTGCAGGCTGGCACTCAGTAACGACTGGATGGCCACTGCGGCGGTACTCGCATGTTTTCGACGGCTTGAGGTCTCACTCGTACCGATGGCTGTCGCTCCTACACTTGCCAGCTCAGCTTCATCCATCTCCTTGATCCGCTCGCTTCGGCTGCTGCTAAGCGCTACTTCCGAGCAGATAGAACTTGACTGCTTGAGTGCTGCTCTGCTAATGCTGGTGGAGAGGCTAACAGCCCTTAGCGCTGCGCCCGGACAGACGGACTATCCGCGGCGAAGTCGCTGGCTGTCTCTCTTTCTCTCTCTCGGATTGCCAGCGAGCGCTGCCTAGTGCAAACCCCGCTGCAGAGGCTACAGCTGTCCCTGCTACAGCGCAGGGAAGTCCACTCCAATTGCAGCCGGTCTTAGGCCCGGGAATCTCGCTTCTGAAGACCAGAGAGAGGCAGGCGGATGTAAGGCTTGCGCCTCACTCGCGGAAGTTGGCAGTGCGGAGCGGAGTGGAGCGGTTAGCAGCGGAGAAGCGGGTTACGGGGGATCGAGGTGTTGACGGATGGAGATCGGAGACGGCTTTCACGCGCGCGCACCTCTCTTGTTCTCCCCTTCACGCTCTTGCTGATAGGTAGAAACCAGCAATCACACCGGGTCCTCTTCTATTGCCCGAGCAGTGAGGCGTCGTCAGCGTCGCCTTTCAGCGGAGAGAGTGAGGAGAAAGTGCTGTCTTTGTTGACCACGAGGAGACGGAGGACATCTTTCGCCGGCTGCTTGTGGCTCAGGCAGATCACTCACACGCATTGCCAGCAAGACTGTGGACGGCTCGAGACCCGCGGCCGCCACCTCGAGGCAAGTTGAGGTTGGCGGCGGATTCTAAGTGCAAAGGTTGGAGGAAAGGCTATCTAGCGGCCAGATGCCCGAGCGGTTAAGGGGATAGACTCGAATCTACACGACTTCGCCATCTATTAGGCTTTGCCTGCGCAGGTTCAAGTCCTGCTCTGGTCGGATACATCTTTTGCCACTGCTGAAGCCAAGCGTGCTCTTCTTTTTTCTTACTTGCCCTGGTTGCAGCGGTCGATGGAGGCAGGGGCAGACAGATTATACAGTTTGCAGCTGCCTGTGCTTTCTCAAGGACCGATAAGTGTTGGAAGGAAGGGAGAGGAGAGGGGGACTAGGAAAGCTTGAGCTGTGATCTCGACGCGCTGGCACTGGGGTTTGTATGGGGTATAGCGCCAGCTTCCAGAAGACTGGCAGCAGAAAGTACCAGGCTGCGGAGCCAAGAGGGGTGTGTGAAACAATGTTGAGTTGACTGGCTCACGTGTATTGTGGTACATACTCTGGTGAAGTAACATTGTTGTTGCAACAAACAATCTGTTCTTGCACTTTGAGCTCCTGCACCTGCAGAGAGGTAGAGTCAGTCCACTCCTTTAGTATCTTCTACTGCTCTCCACACTTTTGAAGTTTGGCCGGCAGGTCAACCCATTACTACATCCAGAGAGTCCAGACGCTGTTCCATGAGGTGAACAGTGTGTAAGGCTCACATCTCAGTTAGGGACACTGGCGGTGCAGAGCAGTCAGCAGTGTGAGCAGGGGAGGAACGGAGTTTGGGGCCATTGAGGAGTGGATAGATCGGAAATGACTTTCACGCACATGCCCTCTCTTGTTCTTCCCCTCCTCACTCTGCCTGTGAGGAAGCAGCAGCAACATACGTGCTTCCTCTTCTATCGCCTGAGCAGTGAGACTTCGACATTGACACCTTTCACAGTGGAGTGTCTGACAACATGCATGCCACAGGTCCTTGTTTCACACCATTTACAGGTACCTTGCAGCTCCGGAAGACGCTTGCAAGAAGATTGGAACAAGAGCAGTGGGCGAGTGAGCAAGCGACTTGGTATGTACCTCCCTCTGACCACTCTTGGGTGCGGTCTGTGGTCCCTGCTATGAGGGAGCTGGCCGCCGTTAAGCACATGAGCTAGATATGAGGTGGATAGTCGTGAAGGAGAGGGACACAGAGAGAGAGAAGAAGAGGGCTGTGGAGCCATTGCAAGCAATGTGAAGCAGCAGAGCGGACTCCGAGGGTCTGACGAGTTGGCAGACAGAGAGACGGTCTCACTCACAGTCTTGCAGACTCAGACAAGCCTTCCTTCATCCTATGCATGCTCCTACAGAACAGTGAGCTCATCCCTATA